AAATGAACCGAAAAATTTAGAACACTGTCCTAGGCGCGTTTTCGCTGTAAATGCGCCGTTGGAGAGCCCTGGCAATTGCCCTACACCCTAGAACACTGTCCTAGGTAGGTTTTCGCTGTAAATGAGCCCGTGGGAAAATGCCCCAAATCCTATTTCCTTTGTATATGAGCCCTTGGGGAGCCAAAAAAACCTAGAACACTGTCCTAGGCGCATTTTCGCTGTAAATGAGCCGAAAAACCTAGAACACTGTCCTAGGCGCGTTTTCGCTGCAAATGAGCCGAAAAACCTGGAACACTGTCCTAGGAGCGTTTTCGCTGTAGATGAGCCGTTGGAGAGCCCTGGCAGTTGCCCCAAACCCTAGAACACTGTCCTAGGTAGGTTTTCGCTGTAAATGAGCCCTTGGGAAAATGCCACAAATCCTAGTTTCTTTATACATGAGCCCTTGGAGAGCGACAAAACCTAGAACACTGTCCTAGGCGTGTTTTCGCTGTAAATGAGCCGAAAAACCTAGAACACTGTCCTAGGCGCGTTTTCGCTGTAAATGAGCCGTTGGAGAGCCCTGGCAATTGCCCCAAATCCTAAATGAGCCCCAAATCCTAGTGACCAAACCACGCAATACAAACCCACCTTTAAGAAAGTCTCTTCCAGAGTCTGGACTGATCCCGAATTTCTTATTCCGAACTGCCAGATTAAGAAATTTCCTGACCCTCGCTTCCGAAGGACGATTTCTTATCAAAAGCCTCGACCGTAGTCGCAGCTTGAACTCGACAGAAAGCTGTGTACCTGAACACAATATTCTGACAACTACATCCCAACAATAGAACATAAACCCTAAACCCTGAAATGTAAGCTGCAAAGCAAATTGATACCGGGGCCTTCGTAACTTCATCGGAATGTGTGGTATGTTATACTCGAATCATAAGAGGAGCTCGGAGGAATGGAACATGTATTTCGTCAAACGACTTCAAGACCGTGGAATCATGATAGTAAGTAAGCCTTCTTGAAGCCCATGGTCTAAACATCCCTACAGGGTCCCTATTCTAGTTACGATAGGGCCCTTAATAATTAGTATAGTTTTGGGGGTATGTTATACTAGAATTATGGTACGGAGCCCCCCACAATGGTATTGGTATTTGTTTAAGCCGATGGGGGCTAAACCCTACAATAGATCCCTTACACACGCCCCTGAGGATCCTTAACCTATTCTTAATTACTTAGGCCCCTATATTATGTGGGACTTTCTGAAAACAAGGGGTACCTATACTCTTTGGGGGTCCTTATAATAATAAGGATCCTACTATGCAGGGTACTATATTAGGGTCCGCGATTGTCGGAAATTCCCCATGTGAGCTTGGGAGTTACGGTTGATGATAGAAATCCTGCATTACCTTAAGGACCCTAAACTATGCGAATTATGGCATCTTCCTTTATATGGGTCATGCAGGATTTATATCATCATCCCTAAACCCTAAACCCCCGTATGGATCCCTTAAAGGAACCCCTTAGAAAGGTATCCTTATAGATCCCTTTAAAGGAACCCTAGGATTTATATCCTCAACCGTATCTTCCTAAACCCCCAAACCCTAAACCCAAACCCCAAAAGCCCCAAACCCTAAAAGCCCTAAACCCTAAAAGCCCTAAACCCTAAAAGCCCTAAACCCCAAAAGCCCTAAACCATCAACCCCTTAGAAAGGTATCCTTATAGATCCCTTTAAAGGGAACCCTAGGATTCATATCCTCAACCGTGTCTTCGCAGTTCCGGTGCCTGACCCTGGGGATCGGCCCGGAAGTCGTATCCGGGCCTTCGGCAGCGCCAGAGGTGGCGGTGTTGGGCTTCAAGTTAGCAGTTTAGGGTTTAGGGTTTAGGGTTTAGTAGGGTTTTGGGTTTAGGGTTTAAGGTTTAGGGTGTAGGGTTTAGGGTTTAGGGTTTAAGGTTTAAGGTTTAGGGTTTAGGGTTTTAGGGTTTAGGGTGTAGGGTTTAAGGTTTAGGGTTTAGGGTTTAAGGTTTAGGGTTTAGGGTTTAGGGTGTAGGGTTTAGGGTTTAGGGTGTAGGGTTTAGGGTTTAGGGTTTAGGGCTTAGGGTTTTAAGGTTTAGGGTTTAAGGTTTAGGGTTTAGGATTTAGGGTTTAGGGTTTAAGGTTTAGTAGGGTTTTGCGGTCTAGGTTGTGGTTCCCTAAACCCAAAACCCTGTAAGCCCTAACTGTTTTGTCTAGGGGTTAAGTCGGGGTTAAGGCTTAGAGCCGAATGGCACTGCCAGGTCTTGAGGTTCGGGTTTAGGTTTAGGGTTTCTTGGGGTTGACGGTTTAGGTCTTACGGTTGCAGTTCTCGGGGTTTAGAGCTTAGTGCTGAAAGGAGTTTCGGGTCGAGCATTCAAACTGCTTGAGGTGGGCGTGCTGCGCAGGAGCAGCCTAGCAGCATTGGGTGGAGTTTAAACCCTAAGCCCTAAACCCTACACCGCAACATCCATTCTCTACTGCAGCGGCTCAGCTGTGATTCAGGATCCCAGAGGAAGATTTGGGGCTGAACGACAACATTCTCAGAAGATCCTTTGCAGGACCGACGCCCATACCTCTGAAGGACGACCCTGAAAGACTGCTTGAAAGAGTACTGTAATTCGGGAAGATAATAATCGAATCTCAACTTTTCTGATTATAAAACACGTCGACATGACAGTTGTTCATACCTACTTGGAGGCCCAGGGGACTTAGTAAGTAGGTTATAAGTAGGGGTACAGTTAGGGTAACTCCATTTAGGGTACTTATAACCCTACTTATAACCTACTTACTAAGTCCCCTGGGCCTCTAAGTAGAGTGGGTTCATGATACTATCTTCCACCTGACTGACGAAACCGTAAACCCTAAACCTATAAAAGGATTATATTAGGGCCCTATTATACTCCTATTATACCACTATTACATGGTGGGAGCCCCTTCTAACGTAAACCCTACTATCTTCCACCTGACTGACGAAAGCAGGTCTCTGAGCTGCCGACGGAGCCGTAAGCCTTCAGCGTGCGGGAGGCGTGAGGATCCACGGGGACGGGGGGGAGGCTACTGCAGGGAACTGAATAACTACCAATAAGTACTATCTTTGGGGTTCCTGTCTATAATTACAGTATAATGCTACCCTCCAAACCCTAATTAGTCCATTTATTAAGTTCCCTACAGTACAACTTTGACCGTGCACTCTAGAGGCACCCAACAAACGAGTAGCGGGCAGGAACACTCCTAAATGGGCTGCAAAGACTTTAGCGCAGGGTCGAGAGTTCTTCGCAGGGGCAGGTAAGGTGATGACTTGGAGCGCTGACCAAAGGGTCTATTGTCTTTGCAGAGATACCCCACCCTGCTCTAAAGATCACCACGGGAACTCCGCAGAACCTTAAACCCTAAACCCTTAACCCCTATAGGGGCCGCCTGAGACTCCATCGAGTGCTGTCTTCCACAGAACTCCGTAGCGTCCTTTCCCTTTGGGGCTTACTTTACGGGCGCAGGGAGGGTAAGCCTCACAGCGAAAGCCTCAGCCAAGCCTGTCAGAACCCAAGAGAGTTGCAAAACCTACGGGACCTTTGTCTGAGTCTTCGAAGAATGCAATCCTCATTCATCCCAATTCCTACATGCTAAACCCGAAAAGCTTCAAACTCCCTTACCCCCTAACCCCTGAAGGCTTCAAGCCTCGCCAAATCAAGCCCCAGCAGCCTCAAACTCCAAACCCCAGGCCCTAAAGGAAACCTGCCATTGATCACGGTTCGGAAACTGAGCGGGATTCCGTAGTCCTAAGCTCTCGCCCACAAACCCACACTCTAAACCCCTTCAGCCCCCAAGGAAGTATGCAGGAAATGGCCTTATAACATCGCCAGCGAAAGCAGGCTCCACCTGATGGCAACGGCTGCTTGGGCTTGGAGATCGGTTGAATCATAAGCTGCCGAAGGGAGGTAGGGGGCCTTAATGCCTACAATAAGGACATAACAAGGCCTATTTAAGGAAGTATAGTCCCCTACCCCCCCACCCCCTACCCCCCCACTTGGAGGTGCATGGGTAGTTATAAGTTGGTTATAAGGGTTCCTTTAAGGGTCCCTTTAAGGGATCTATAGGGATTTAGGGTTCAGGGATTAGGGCTTCAGGGTAGTTTTATGAGTGGGGTGATAAGTCTCTTAATATGTCTTACAGGCATAGTTACCCTACTTATAACTAACCCACTTTTCACTACCCATGAACCTCGAAGTATCCTACAACACGAACAGAGTGACTAGAGTACCGAGCCTATCCGTGCTTCTAAAGCGTGTTGCGGGATCGTGGTGCGCCGAAGCCTGAACTTGCCGCAACCATTTCACGAAAACCATTTGGACTCTAGGTCAGCCTTGAGAATATCTACATCTAGCACAGTCATCGCTAGAGTTGAAACGCCTGACCTGCAATTAGACTCGTAACTACGGTTTTGCGCTAAGCGTGTCAACCGATGTTTGGGGACGGGCAGTCCGGGACATATTGCCGTGGTCGGCTTGTCAAGTGATACTCGATACCACAACCTGCAGAAACATCGCAGATGCAGTCCCGGTTGGAGCCATTGACATTATCACACCACCTGCTGTGGTAAGTCGCAAGTTGGGCCCGTGACGGCTCTGATCAAATCTTGCAGCTGACTTCTTGTGATTGCCGGATTTCTGTGACTGCAACTCGCAGCAAGCCTTCCTAGAACCGTTACATCACTTGTTAAACTCGCAAGGAGCTCTGTCAACAACACTCGTCTGGAACCCGAGCATGGAGAGTTCTAATAAGCCCCCCATGTGAAACCAAACACCGCCAAACCTGGACACCCGAAGCCCCAAGCCTCAAACTTCATGCAACCGTTTAACGGAACCCTCATTGGAACTTTCAAAGGGTCCCCAAGCTACTTCCTTGTAGCTAGCGTTTTACAGTTCGCATCTTATGGGATTTAGTCCTTGGGGTTTAGGGTCTTTGGGTTGAGGGTTCGGAAGAGGCCCTGGAAGCTTGGCCGCTGACCAGCGAGAAGGTCACGGAGATCGCAGACGCCTGCAGAAAGATGCTTCCTAAAGAAAGGCTCACCTAAGAGTTTTCCAGTGTTTCGAAGGATCCCTGCCAGGACTTCCTGGAGACCCCGAGAAGGGCCGAAACTAACCCTGAGGCTGCATGTGCTTGCTTAGGTTGTGTGTGGGACTGCCAGACGGCTTTCCAGACAGTTCATGTGCCCGGCGAACCCAATATGGACTGTGGCCTAAAAGTGGCTCCAAAAACGTACGCTAGCGAAACTTTTGAAATCCTGAACAAAATACATACTCTCGGCGCCGCCTGTAAGTAAAGCCCTCTAGTCGAAAGGCAGTGGCACGAGGCCGTCAGTCAAGCCAACAGTCCAGAAGAAGCCATATGGTCACCCTCGACAGCCCTCCACCGCAGCTGCTTCAGCCTCGAGCCTGTCCGTCCCCTGCAAAGATGATGAAACTCCAACAAGCTTGAAGCAAGGAATACGTGATAACTGTACCCCTGAACCCTTCCAGTCTTCTTGAAACTCCGAAACGAGCCTCCAAAGTGAATAGGCCGACCTTGCGCAACTCTTATTCACCTCTCCACAGCCACTAACAGATCGATATGGGAGTTTCCGAAACTTAGGGGTACCTCAGTAATCGTAGAAATAATAGCAAAAAGAGGAATAACTGTCATAGCAGTCGTAATAGTAATAATGGTAATTCTAGCTATAATGGTCATGATAGTAACAACAGTAAGTATAGTAGTACTAGTAATAATAGGGTTTAGGGTTTAGGGAACCCTGGCGACAATGACAGACGAGAGCCCTCCCCAAAACGGTCACACAGGCACTCCGGAGCCGTTGCGACTTGCAGCCCTGAAACCAGGGAATCCTTCAACTTAGAAGGGCTCCTACACCCGACACCCTAAACAACGAAGCCGTAGAATACTGGCTATACAGACTAGAAGACGCCATAGCACATAGCAAGCACATAGTAACACCAATCGGGGGGACTTTTTGGTGCTTCTGGGAGCCCCCCTCCCTTGCCGGAGCCTCGTCACCTGGCGCCAGGACCTCCGCCGTTGTGACGCTGAGCAATGCCAGGCCTCTGAAAAGCTCGACTTTTGCAAGCTTCCTTCGAAGATCCTGCATCATGGATCCACATCTAAACATCTATAGAAGTCTTGTATCACAGCGGCATAACTACGAGGAAACTCTTTGCTCAAACGCCTTCGGGAAAGTATAGAACTGAACAATAGTGTCAGATCTCAGCATGACCCGTACGGGTGCAGGTTCCATGAAAAGCCATGCTTCAGAAGGACCTCAAAGTAGGCAGTGCAACCTAAAAGGGAGTTTCCGAAAATAGGGGACCCTAATATAGTAACTTCTTATAATTCTTGGAATAGACACAGCTAGCCCATGCCCAAGCACGCAAACCCCAAACCCCAAAACTCCCAAACCCTAAGAGCCATTTATTCAGAACGCCGCCCTCCTGCACTCCTAAACCCTAAACCCCAAACACTAAACCCTAAACCCTGTCGAGATCTCAAGCCCTGAACCCTGAACACCGAAACCAACCCCGAGACTCCAACATCCGAAGACTCCGAACCCTGAAAGCCCGTCTTGGTTCCTGTAAAGGAGTTTAGTCTAAGTTACCACATTAATAATAGCCCATAGTAAATACTATGGCTTCCTTATTATGTTAATTTAGATTTCTTACACCCCCTAATAAGAACCCAGCCTTTTGTGATGGGGAAGCTTGCTGTCTCAACCATGTCGAGGAGCCTGGCGATGACCGGCCCCTGATTCTGAGTGGAGTTTGCCGTTCTTTGTATGCTTGAATAGCCTCCTTCTTGCTATATATGACATGATATCACATCAGGTCACATCACTCTAACTAGATTTCATAATGCCTTTTGTTATGTTGTACTGTATCCCATTGCTTTGTATTTTATTCAACTCCGTTCCACTGGTTTCGATTCCAAGATATTGCATTGCTTCGTCTGATATCTGTCCTATTCACACAGTCTTCTACCATAAAACGTGAACTGTCTTTGCCAATTGCAGACCCAACCAGAACACATAGTCTGCCACAGTACGTTGATTTTTTCAATAATGCCCTGTTAGAGATCTTTAACACTGCAACCCATTAGAGTATACTAGCATGAACCGATTACAGGATCAATAGAACCTCTGATGATGTGCGGTTAGCCGTATGTGCTCTGAATAGACAACACGCGCAGCACGATGTAGGGTCTAGCTTAGGGTTGGCACCACTCGCAGACGTGCAAAGTACGTACCTCGCCACGGACATGCGGATCTATTGTCTGTCTGACTCTCCACTTTAGACGCTCTGGCAGCCCGACGATCTACACTCTCAAACCCCAAGAAGCCGTAGATGTTGATAGAGGGTGACAAAAATGCACACCGCTGTGCAGAGTCATGGGAGCAAGAAGAGTCAGTACTGCGCAATGCTCTTTTGTAATCACACTCCCATCTCGTTGTGCCTTATTGAAAAGCCCGGAACCCTAAACCCAACTTATGTCTCGGCAGGGAACGGCACAAACATGCAGGGATCGCAGCAAATCCTCCAAGCCGGGGAGGGGGAGCACCTCGCAGCAAGCAAACAGTCTTCGGATCGCCGGGACTGGCCCTCGAGTACACAGAGACACGTCTTGTACGACCGACAGGTGTGTACACTCTACACGAGAGCCCTATTCAAGCCATGGTCCAGACCTGTGGGCTACGATCTGCACTGAAGCTGAGGATCTTCAACACTCGTATCGTCAGAGGCTGTTGGGGAGCCCTTTACCCCTAGAAGAGCCCAATGGAAGGGCCCTTAAATTCCTGAACTTTAGGACCAAAAGCCCTTGGCCCAATGCCTATAAGTCTTAAGACCAGTGCTAACACCCGACCCTAAGCCCTGACCCTCAACCCGAAACCTTAAATTTCGAAGCCTGAAACTGGATTGTGACGGAACCAGGGGCAAAAGAACATAGATTCTTACTCTTCAATGGTTGCCTTAAGGAACAGGGTCCAACAAAACATTCAAGTATGGTGGGGCTTCTAAGGCCTTTGAAAAATATTTGTAAACAAGATCCTCTTAAGCCCATATGGTAACTAGGTTGGCCCTTCAAAGCCTCTGAAAAATATTCGTACATAGGGTCCTACTATGCCCAATAAGGGAAAATATAAAATGTCCCAAAAGGCCTACCTAGCAAGTATGGTAACTACTCCCGAGGTCTCGGAAAGCCTCAGAGTCTCAGCTGTCTGGTTCTTAGTAGGGATTGGGGTTCCTTTAAGGGTTACTATAAGGGTTACGAGAAGGGCTACTATAAGGGTCATACTATAGGGGTGTAGGGTTCTTAGTAGGGATTCGGGGGAATGGATCCCTATGATCGTCCCTTAAGGTCCCCCCAAGAGTAGTCCCAATAACACATTCCCTCATTCCCTACTAAGAACCAGACAGATTACAGTTAAACTTATAGATCCCTTAACTTTATAGGAGCCTTTAATAAAGGAACCTTAAGGCCGTTCCCCTATTCCCTACGAAGAACCAGACTGTCGGAGTGACCGGGGGGCCCGGCACCAGTGTCCGCGTTGAGCTGTTCCGCGGTCACCTGGGCAGGGGCTTGCTCGAGGGATTGCAGAATTTTTGTTTTCTTGACTACAGATGAACACAGCACTACATAATGGAATGCAGTATACAAGGTGGCTATACAAGGGCTTTTGTGGGTGTATACGGGTTTGACGGAGTTAGGTTTGGATTTTTCGAACGGAGTGTTGCAAGAGTCCTATAAGGTGCAGGCTAGGTTTGCCTGGATTGAGAATATGTCCAGCTTGACCGACCCGTCGTGAACCATGTGTGCCGGATCCTCCAAGTCTGTCCATCAGGACTGCAGTGCTTCGGCTATGTGATCTCTCGTTGTTGAACATGGCGTAAGCATGGGCATGTAACCTTTTCTTAAAGTTCAGTGCCACAAGCTGCAATGCCCAGTTTAAGCACAGAGACAGCGCAGCATCCTGGAACGTCTAGCGCGGGAACATGTCGTGCCGCTGAAAGGAAGGCAAGTGCCATGAGATGAAAGGGGAGTTTCCGAAAAATAGGGGTACCTCAATTTGGGGGTCCTTATAATCAGGATCCTACTATTTAGGATACTATGTTAGGGTCGCCTATGTTCGGAAACTCCCAAATGAAGGTTCGGCTACGACCCATCTTTGAACTTATGAACACACTTGTGCTTCTGCCCTGAGTGATGTGTAATTGCAGCATCGCAGAAGCATGCTCATACTCTGTATCATATCGTGCAACTTAAGTTTGACTTAGTACCAGAAGGCATGGCCTACTTGGCATTGCCACAGTCTCTCCTTTCGCCTCAAAATCACCCTTCCCGTGCAAGGTCGCTGCTGGCTGGGCCGAAGCGATCTGGAAAGCTTCGGGTGCGGCGATCTCGGCCTCACAGATCTTGTGATGATGACTGCGGACTTACTGACATCTCCGACTTACCCTCAACTGCCACCTTCAACAACCAGCAACAAGTTCACGATTTTGTAACTGAACGAAACATGACACATCTAGAATATATGCCGACTAGTGACATGGAACTTCTTTCAGTTACAGACTTCACTTGGCCCTAAACGCGCCGCCAGGCTTGGAGCCTGCAGGCCAAGGACGCCAAAACCAGTTAAGATAGTACGAAACCTTCTATCCCTGCTCCACTCTTGACCTAAGTTCGTATAAATAAAGCATAGGGGCCTTGCCGACTAGAAGAAGTAGTGTCTTTCCTTCTATCCCTGCTCCACTCTTGACCCGGTTTCATTTTCATATAGTGGCCTTACTGATTAGAGTAGGGTCTTGGGGCATTGTACACTATATATATATATATATATATCCAGCAACCCCCAAAGAAGACGGCTGGCAACTAACCAGGCTTCTCCATTACTTTCACGGAATGCTTCAGTGAGCCCGTAACAAGGTAACTTCCATTCGCAAGTGCAGGCATGTAGGAGTTTCCGAAAAGAGGGGACCCCAAAAAAGTACCCTGAGTAACAGGATCCATTTTATTTATAAGGACCCTCAAATTAAGGTACCCCTAATTTTCGGAAACTCCCATGTCGCGACCGATGGCACTGCCACTGTACTCCCGTCGCCTATCTCCTGAAGCTCCCACGATAGCCTCGAAACCCTGAGAAACCTCCTTACAGGACTCGAGGGCCTTTTTATTGGGGATATCCCTACCTTATTGGGCTTCAGTATAAGGGGGTTTATATGGGATATCTCGAACCTTAGTTGCTTCTGTGCCCAGAAAACCGAGGATTTCCAGGCAAGCTGAGACTTCTGAGATAGCCGCCACAGGGTTCAGAATGGTGGCTTCCACGCTGTACCTGCTATGTTTTCAATGGTCCCGGCGTCCCTTGTAACCCCTTAAATCCCTACAACCCTAAACCGTAGCGGAAGGATTCGCAGATCACAGGCTCGGCCTTGATTGCTAACTCCCTCCTGACCCAGAACTAACCCCCTTCTCAGCCAACGCGTAGTTTCACATACTCTAAACGATGCCCTAGCTGTGAGACCCCAAGACCCTGAAGCACCAAACCCTGAACTGCATAACCCTAAGTTTCGAAACCCTCAATAGGCATGGATAAACATCTGAGCACGGGTGAACACCTATCAGCCTACATTCCCCAAACCAAATCCTGTCACAACAACCCTAGATTGCGCAAAGCCCGTAGAGAACCCTTATTCTGATCCCTGAACCCCTAGTCCCTCAACCCCGAAACCCTCAACCTCCAAACCCTTATCCGCCTCTAATCGCGCAAACCCCTCATTCCTGAGCAATAATACTTCAAAGAACCCCGAAGTGGAGGTCACTCCGTGAGCGGCTCGATGTCCTCTCCCCCCTCCGGAAGCTGCAGCAAGAGCAAACCTCAGCGATCGCTTGGAGGCTTGTTTCTTTGGAGCCATAAGTAGGGTTCCTTTACGGGTTCTATAGGGTTTAGGAGTTTAGGGATTAGGGTAGTCCTTTAAGGGTTCCATAGGGTTTAGGAGTTTAGGGATTAGGGTAGTTAGAAGTGGGGGTTCTAAGTCGAGCAACTATAGTTATACCCTACGTCAGGGGACTTATAGCCCCCACTTATAATAACTAACTACCCGCGAACCTCCGAGCAGCGGCTTAGGGTTCCCTTTACTTGGAGGTTCATGGGTAGTTATAAGTACGGTTAACCCAGATTAAGGGACTTATAACCCCACTTATTACTACCCATGAACCTCCAAGTAGAGGTCGAGGGGTCGATGGGTCTAAGTCTTAGCGCTGCCGGCTCCAGTTCTTAGGGGGTTTCGAAGAATGGGATGCTGAGTGAAGCGTAGGCGTCATCTAACCCGAAAACTCCAAAGCTTATGAAGCCTAGCTAGGCACCTTTTCCTTAGTTGCTGAGTTCATAAGCCCTCACAAAGTGTGCTGAGTTCATAAGCCCTGACAAAGTGTACACTTTTAGTTATTTTAATAGCGGGTACTATTATCCCAAAAAGTGTAAAGTGTATTCACTCAGCTACTAAGTTTCTTCTGGCTCTAGAGGCCTGAAGCCTCCCAGGTACGATCCTAATTCTCGAGTCGAGGGGCCGTCCTGAGCCTCGTGGAGGTAGCACTTCGCAGGCAGCAGCTTCCAGAAGGAGGTGCCTTGAAGAATTATGGGATGAGTCTTGTGGGGGCCTCAATACTTAGAGTAGGTTTGGGGCCCACTATACTGTAGCTAACTGCTGCTACTACCGTCATGTTGATGGCACAGTGATAAATGAACCTCTTAAGATCTGCTTTCGTGCGAATTATCTAACCAACTTCAGAACATGCCTTCAGCACCTTCCGCTTCATGCTTTAATGCCGCAACGGCATTGCTGAGTTGATACCTAAGTCGCAAGACACCGTAACACCTATAGCAGCCGAAACGAGCTGCAACACCTATAACACCCTATAAGCCTGCTGTAAGAGCTATAACACCCCATAAGACTGTTATGAGAGCTATAACACCTGTATTTAAGCCTGGAAAACCTTCCAAAACCCACCCTAAAACCCTAAACCCTAAAACCACAAAGCCCTAAAACCCTAAACCCTAAAACCACAAAGCCCTGAAACCCTAAACCCCTAAAACCCTAAACCCCTAAAACTCTAACACCCTGAAACCCCAAAACCCGAAGCCCAAGGGTCGCGCCCAGAGATCCGACGGCCACAGCTGCCAAAGCCTCTGACAGAGTCTGAACGAGGCCGAAGGGTACTTGATAAGGGGGTTTAGGGGTTTAGGGTTTAGGGTGTAGGGGTTTAGAGTTTAAGGTGTAGGGGCTTAGGGACAGAGTCTCATCCACCCATCCACCCAGACTCTGATACTGGTTTAGCATTTAGGGTATTGGTAAATGGTGTCTAGAGCTTCTGTTTATGGCTTAGGGTAATAGTTTATAAAGCTTTGGAGGGGTTAGGATGTAGGGCTTTGTGTTTTGGGTTTGCGGCCCAACGTCCAACCCCATACTCTGGATCGACAGTTGGCACGCACCTATAAAACCTAAACGCTCTTAGCCCCAAACTTTAGGGACCAAAGACATGAGATCGTTCAGCCGCGCCTTCTTCAAGAAGTCAGATCTTTGCTTGGTTCTGGTCTGTGCTTGGATGACCCGGGATTTCGTATGCAGGGATGTAATTAGGTGCCTTCATAAGGGCTTTACGAGTAGATACCAGTGAAACTACGTTGGCCTTACAAATAACCCTACTTACTCAGTCACACGGTGAAGCACGGCTTTCCATAAATCATAAAGGGGACCCCTGAGCCTTAAATCCAAGCCCCAAACCATAAATCCAAAACGTCGGGCCACGAAACCCCAAAGCCCAAGCCCCAAGAAGACAGCCAAACCGCAAACCTAAACGTGCCTTCAACCCTCAATGATTCTTAAACCCTATACAAACCTGAAACTGAACGTACCTGAAACCCTAGGCCCTGAATACACCGTAAACCCCAAATAAACCTGAAACCCTATGTAAACCTTAAATACACCTGAAACCTACTTGGAGGTTCATGGGTAGTTATAAGTATAGGGATAAGTAGGGTAACTATACTTATAACCCATATTAGGGGACTTATAACCCAACTTATAACTACCCATGAACCTCCAAGTAGGCCCTAAACCCTATACCCTTACAGAATCCCTACAGATCCCTTTAAAGGGACCCTTAAAGGAGCCCTTGTAACTACCCATGAACCTCCAAGTTGTGAACCCAAAAGGCCTCTTCCGAGAGCTGGGAAGGCTTCTTTCGCAGCTTCCCGTCGCAGGAGCGGTCTTCGCCTCCTGAACTCTTTTACCGGAATCAAGGGTTTAGGGTTTAGGGTTTAGGGGTTTAAGGGTTAGGAGTTTAAGGTGCAGGGGTTTAGGGTTTAGGGCCTAGTTTAGGGTATCAAGAGTAGCCAGAGTAGGGTTTCTTTTACAGGGGTCTATAATGGTTGCTACAAAGGATCTATAAGGGGTACTATAATACTTAAGGGCTGAGGGTCTGGAGTTCAGGGGTTTCGGGTTTAAGGGAATCTCAAAACAACGAATCGCAGAACTCTACAACGACAGCTCTAAGCCTTAAGCCCCTTAACCCCAAAATCCTCAGGTCCCAAACCCTAAACCCTAAACTCTAAGCCCCCTTAACCCCCCAAATCCTCAGTTCAAAACCTCTGAAGCCTGAAGATCGGAGCGAAAGCGTCTAAGCCTCGAATCACTCTGCCTTGACATTCTGCTGGTGGAGGCTATGTTGTTTAGTGCTTTTTGTTGAGAGCCTTTTTCCACCCGCCAGGTCTGTGTGTTTAGGGTTTAGGGGTGTCGTTTCCATCACTGGCTCTTTGCCTCCATGCAGCTTAACTTATGGATGACGCACCGACAGCATAAGCGCGCGGTAGGACGATGTCAGTTCAAGGGTGAAGCCTAATACCAAGCTCATGATCACTCTTTTTGCTAAGCATGATGGTATCACGTTCCTGTTTGAGATGACCATGATCACGACCATCACGTACCCAGTGCCATGCTGTACTTAAGCCATTTCTAGGCCACGTTCTTGTTCATGGTAGCCATGTTGGGGTTCACTGCTTGTCTACCATTACGGATTGCTGAGCATTTCTGGACAACTATTCTTGCACGGTGACTCATAATTTTCACCCTGAGCACCTTAAACTCATCGCTCGTCTTCCGATGTATACCGTTTGAAGCACCGCAGGAGGGATACTGGGACTGCGGGAAGGACAAGGAAAGAAACCCTCTGCCGGGCCTAGCCAGCGGAAGGACTGCGGCGCCTCCGACAGTGGCGGGTCTTCTTTACGGTGCACGTGAGTCCCAAAATCGAGAACGTCAGACTTGCTTTTAATGAGCAATACCCCCGCCTGACACTCTGCCAACTATCTCATAGACTTTCTCCTCTGTTGATGAAGGTGCTTGAGGGGCCCGGCAAAACACTACAGATACAAGGCTCTACGAGCTAGCATTAGTAATAACAACGATAGCAACAATAAAGGGTCCGAGGTACTGGTATGGGGGATACTTCCCCAAATCATAACAGTAATTCCTAATATGGAAACTACAGCTACATTGGACCCTTCGGGTTCTCAATGGTAACAGCTGTCGGAAGGTTGTGGGCACGGCCTGGACGTGCCTATATGTGGCAAAGTCTGGTGCAAACATGGCCGACAGGGTTAAGGTTTAGGCTCTAGGGTTCAGGGGTCTAGGGTGCCAGGCTAGGTGCTGATGCAAGTGGCCTAAATGTCGTTGTTATATAAACAAAAGCTACCCGGAGAGCCGGGTAAAACGATATTCATACCCATGCGAACCCTACAGACTCCTCCTCAACCAAGCGAAACTGCCCCCCATGTCCTAAAGCCTGGACTCCGGAATCCCAAACCACCGAAGAAAACAACCTAAACCCTGAAGTGGAGCCGAGGCCCGCAACTTTCAAGCCAACAGCCTAAACTGGAAACCCTAAAGCTTCTACCCTGAACCTAGACGCACATTCTACGGTGAAAGTCGCCTGCACCCAAAGGCGTCCCCCTGCTGGCACCTGGGAATGCTGAGACCGAAAGATCGTGCTGCGAAGGCTAGCAGCCGCACGAATCGCGGCGTAGGCTTGGCAGCTTTGGGGATTAGGTTGTGAGCCTGTGGGGGCTTACGACTCTGGGCTTAAGCTTAGGTTTTAGAGCTTGCCATCCTCGAAACAAAGACGAGCCTTCCTGGGGCTTCCAGTGAAGTTTGAGGAGTTGTGGTAGTGATGATCGTGGTGGTAATAGTAGCAGCAGCAGCTGTAGTCGTCGTCGTGATGGTGGTGGTAGCAGTAGCACTGCGAAAATGCTCGGCAAGACTACCTCACCAAGCTCCGTCCGCTGCTGGAGCTCTGCTAAGATACACCCAAACTAGTAGGATCCTGAATATATTATATAAGGGCCTTACTAGTTACCTATACCATTCTGTGTGTTCCTTATTATCACTATAGTATAATGGGCCCCAAAACCCTATTGTAATTGAAGACCTCTAAAGAAAGGATCCACCGCCCCAAAAAAAAGGACAGATTGCGACGCTTTTGGAGTTCTGGCTCAGGCTGCTGCCCCGTTGAAGCCGCGCAGGATGATGCCTGGGTGAACTCGGGGTGCTTGGGCGTTTTGGGGTTTGGGGTGTTTGGGATTTTGGGGTTTGAAAGCAACAAGAACCTGAGGGTGAAGAAGCAAAGGAGGAGGCTGGCTAGGAGAATCCATACAGCCTAAACCTGTCGGGGCTTCGTATGCAACCCTAACAGTTAGGGGTCTTCGTAAGTAGAATGCTGCTGGGGGCTTTCCAGACACTACTTAAACTCAGGAAGCCAGGAATAGCATTACTACATAGTCTGGGGGTCCGAAGAATGACTAATCATCAGTACGCGTAGCAATACTCCCGTACAGGCCCCATATAGCTATGGGACAATCCACCCCAAAGCTCTCTTCTGAGGTACCTGTTTAGGGTTCCCTAATACGATTTCTTCATATATGTCTTCAAAACCCTAAACCCTATAGAACCCTTAAAAGAATCCCTAAAGGAACCTTAAACTGTGGGTTTAGGGCTTTGCTGACGCCGAGCAGCGGAGAGGATTCAAAGTCGTCCCGCCGTTCGCATCCGTGGCCACCTCGGCAAAGTTCCCCCCAGGTTCCGGGGGCGGGAGGTTCAGGAATTGAAGTTAAGCTATCATAAGTTAGGGTTCCACTAAGGGTTCTATAAGGGTTTAAGGGTGGGAGAATTCCCCATAGGTTCGGGGGGGTTGTTAAGGAATTCAAGTTAAAGTTACCAGAATAGGGATCTTTAAGGCTCTTTTAAGGGATCTAGCAGGGTTCCTTTACAGTTACCATAATAGCGACCTATAGTAAAGAATTTTGTTTCTGTATTATGGTAACTTAAACTAAATCCCCAAACAAGAACCTAGAGTTCGGGGTTTGCGCCGTCGGCTGTAGCTTTTAGGGTTTAGTGGTTCCGGTGTAGTACTGCAAGGGTACCAACGAGACTGCAATCAGAGTTGAATGACGTTTTGGAGGTCTGGGGTGTCGGGCTTTGGGGTTTAGGGCTGTGGATTTCTCTGCAGAGTCTCGCCAGAAAGTATCAGGGGCAGGTGAGAAGACATCTTGAAGATGACTCTGAAAGTCCAATGAAGGGGTAGGACAATACGTGGCAACCGGTGAAGGGTGCGAAGGTCAGACGCAGAGTAGGACCTTGGTTCTCGAGTCTAGTGAGTCCTGCAAAATGGTCTTGTTGACAGTGTCAGTCAGAAAGTGTGGTGGAGGATTTCGGGATTGCTTTGGTTTCAAACTGTAGACTTGATATGCCGACAGGCAGTACACCGATGTTGTCTCAAAAGCCCGAGGCCTTTAGTTTTTCAAAGTTGTAGCATCAACCTGGCAGTATAAGTTAAGAGGAACGATGCTAAACGATGCCAGTAAAGCTTGCTCGCTCTCATTTTCGATGCGACATGACAACCACCTCGTTATGTCCACCAAGTTTGCGAGCCTCAGTCGCAAGCAGCTAGCTAACAAGCCGCACCCTTAAGCCCCGGAGACCCGGTCCTCAGCCGCACACCCCGCTACTTCTCTCCGTGGTGGTGGGAACGACCGCAGCTTTAGGAAAGGTCCACCTTGGAGGGGCAGTTGATGGATGCACGGAGGCAGTTCAGAGTAGGAGAGCACGACTGGAGCCCCGAAACGCAATATCTTCAAGTACTCAAGCTCTGATAGCCCTGACCCTCACCACCTAAAAGATGAAGGTCTGAAAGACTCACTCTAGTCGCCACAACCTGTCTCCTGCAGTCAATCCGTCTTCTCGAAAGCATACCTCGTGTGGTGCTTGGAAAAGATGAGGCCTCCACTCTAAAGCCTAACCCCTAAACCCCTAAACCCTAAACCCCTAAACCCCAAACCCTAAACCCCTAAACCCTAAACCCCTCAACCCTAAACCCCTAAACCGTAAACCCCCAAACCCTAAACCCTAAACCCCCAAACCCTAAACCCTCAACCCTAAACCCCCAAACCCTAAACCCCCAAACCCTAAACCCCCAAACCCTAAACCCCTAAACCCCCAAACCCTAGACCCTCAACCCTAAACCCCCAAACCCTAAACCCTCAACCCTAAACCCCCAAACCCTAAACCCCCAAACCCTAAACCCCCAAACCCTAAACCCTACCTTAGTCCCCTAAGTCCAACGCAGGCCGAAGCCGTAGAAGGGAGAGGAGGACTCCACATAGCGAGGCCTCGGCAGGCACACGGCTGGCATCTGGGTAGTTGTCAAAGCTGGGGTCCCTTTTTGGGGTCCTTATTATAATACGGCACCTAATATTTAGGGTACCCAAAAAGGGACCATAATTTTGACAACCACCCATCTGAGCTTCGAAGAAAGCATCAGCTGGGGTTAGGGGATAGGCTTTAGGATTAATTTGACTCTTGGTTTTATAAGAGAGCACCAACTGGGCTCTTTGAGTTTAGGTTTTAAGGTTTATGATTAATTTGATAGTTTGTTTGCTATTGGGATTAGGGTTTATTGTCTAGGATTAATTTGATAGTTTGTTTGTAAAGGCTTTAATTGGGTTTAGGGCTTAGGGTTCAGGATTCATTCGAGTCTTCGTTTTATGAAGGCTTTGAAGCATCGAGTACGGGCAATCATTGTGCAAGGCTTTGATGTGCCTTCATGGCTACCGCTGCTTTTCTCTTCTTTCTAGAGTGCTTGTGATCCCACAGCCAGGTGGAAGGAGAAAAGCAGAAGGTCAACCTTAAACACTCATACTCTAAACCCTAAACCCATGAATCCTGAACCCCTAAACCCCAAACCCCTAAACCCTAAACCCCGAAACCCCAAACCCCTAAACCCCTAAACCCCAAACCCCTAAACCCTAAACCCCGAAACCCCAAACCCCTAAACCCCTAAACCCCAAACCAGAAGGTCACAGCCAAGTGTTGAAATTTGTCGCCTCCCGGCCCATCATCAGCAGAACAGACTCCCTTGTTAGGGGTTTACGGTTTAATATAGGGGCCTGAATAATTACCTGTACTATTTTAAGGTTCCTTCTTTTAAATATAATATTATGGGCCCCTAAACCGCATTATTCTACTTCTTAGGGCCCCTGTATCAGGGTCTCGAGTAGCAAAGTAAGCTTCCGGCTGGGTCTCCCCTGCCACAGGCCTCAACGGCACGGATTCTTGCAAAGTCCGCGGCAAGGTTCGAGTCCGGACTATGTTCTACGGGGATTCTGCGTCATATACGTCTTGACAAGCATCACGGGTGTGTCGACCCATCAGCCTCGAATACCCGCTATCCATTCCCCAATTCAAAGCCCCCTGGTGCATACTGTGGTATGTCAAGAATGAGTAACACAAGGGGATGCCATTGTAAATTCTGCAAACTGCTAGGTTAGGTCCTTTGCCCGAGTCTGGACCTCGGCACCTAAACTGCTTCCGAAACCACCGCTCAGCGGCTTCGTCAAGGGCTCCGGTCAGATTCTTTAAAGGTCCTAGGGTGTAGGGTTTGGGTTGAAATAAGACCTCTCTCATCATTCTCGGGGTATCTCGGGGTTGTCGTGATTTTGTATCCTTTTTGGTGGTCGCGGCTCTCATAAAGAACGATCCTGCTTGGAGTATCAATGGGGTTCGTGCGCCGCTTATGCCGAGCTTTAGGGATCAGTTTAAAGAGCATGCCCCTCCGGTTTCCAAATCTGGAGAGCGATGAATGTTGCAGCCAGCTTTGCAACATGGACAAAATTGACAAGGACACCCCTACGCCCTTACTACGATGAAGGTGAGGATGAGGATGAGGGCGACTTGCAATCATCGAAAGGTTTCTTTCCAGTCTGGCTTTCATCATTGGACCAGGGTTTTCTGCGTACAGTATGATATAATAGGGGACCCTGATATAATCCCCTAAATAATAGGATCCTTTTTATAAGGACCCCAAAATAAGGTACCCTAATTTCCGGAAACTTCCATATATGACACTCTTAAGCTAGGGGCTTCAGGACCTCAGGAACGAGAGCTTTCATGCACCGATTGGGATGTACCTGCAAGCACTTATGCCCTAAATCCCAGACCACCCCTAACTACCTCAAAACCGTGATCCTGAAGGACTGATGTCAAAAAATCATACTACGGAATCCCAAAGCGGTAGATTCTTTAAGGTTCAAGCACACCCTGGACCACCCCCCAAGCTCAAAACCCTGAATCCGAAGGCCCCTTTTCTCGATGCCACGCTATGAAAACTGCGCAGGCAACCGTCTGCCGAGTCTCTGCCTGTAAAATTTGTTCTTGGGTGTGAGGCTTGGGAGGGCCCAAACCTCCAAATAATCAGACACACGGGGAATGTGATGGGCCGTGAAGCTCAGATAACAACATCTAGTAAAAAACCCTATAACAACCCCCATAATCCTAAAGCCTAAACCCCCATGACAAGCCCTATAAAACGCCTATAACAACTTTGATTTAAGTTTCTGAATCGGGGTTTTGGGGGGAGATTGCCGGCTCACGTCCACTGCAGACTTCAGCGGAGGGACTTGAAGAAGGCCTGCAAGGACTGGGGCTTGGGGTTTAATTCGGGTGGGCTTCGAAGATTTCGGTAAGCTTCGATTACTTTTTATAGAAGAAGGCCTGGACGGACTCAAGTTTGAAAGTTTCGGGGCTATAGTCCAAGCACCAGACGGCTAATTATGCAATTAAAACAATCCCGCAACTTAGAAAATTCCCGAACCTCATGGACGGTACCTTCATATCGAGTGGGTTGCCCTAAACAAGTGGAACGTGGGTTGAAGCGACAAGGTCTTCGGATCAAGAGTTTGAGGCAAAAAACTACTTACGGGCTTGTGATGGGGAAGGTTGACTTAGTGCTTAGAGATGAGGCTTTAGTTCAGGTCTTAGGGTCTGAATTTCGGGGGTCAGTGCGCCAGAATAACATAGTTTAGTTGCTGCCCGAGCGTCTGTAAAACTCTGAGCGAAGAATCGGCTACCCTGTATGGAACAAACCTAGACTTTTTTTGAGATGACTTCTGGGTAGTTGCTTTGAGGGGAACTCCAGTTCAGAACGTCCCCGAAACTGGACTCTTCCTTCAAGCTGCGCATCGAAACTTAGAGTTCCCGGGACGTTTTGTGCGATGAACTTATCAAGGGAACCTCAGGAATAATGCTGGCTCCCAGCTTTTCGGCCCACAAGCCTGCCCCGTGTAAACCCCAAACCCAGAATCCTATTGCAGGCCTCCCTAAACCCTAAACCCAACATAGTCGCCTTTAATAAAGGAACCCAATCTCACCTTTTCGGCTAACAAACAAGCCTGACCCGAATCCGGAACCTTATCGCAGGCCTCGATAGGGTTCGGTGGCGGCGTGGTGGTCGTTGTGGTCGTGGTTGGGTTGAACCTCGGTCTGCCGTGCATGCTCTCAATTCAATGCTATCTGGGGCGTTGAGCTCGGGCAGGGCTCTCCTCTAGTTGCTGAGCGTCGCGGCCTCCTCATCCATTGTGATTCTTACATATATGCATAGAGCGCAGATCTTACTCCGGCATGCTGAAATCGTGCAGTTCCGTGCAGGTTTCAGATGCTTCGCTGAGTTCGGACAGTTCTGCAAAGCTCAGGCTCAATAGTGCAATGGTAGCAAGGCTTTCACAGCCATGATGCCTGATCTGGAGCTTCAAAACAAAGTTAATGCTCCTGCGGCTTCTGATGCCAAGGCCATCCGCCACCAGGACACAAACGACTAAACGACCTACGAAATCGACAAATGACTTAAGAAGAACCCTCTTACAAGCATGATTGGGAACTGAACATCGCGGGTCTGGTGAAACTTGCGGAGGGAGGGACCGCTGAAAGAAGTTTTTTATGTGACCGACGCCTGGCCAAAAGCGAGAGACGGACATTGAGAAAAACATGGTAGCTGCCGAACTAGTGACAGACGAAGACTACCGATAGCCACCGAGAAGCTACGCCAACCACGAACCCAAAACCCCAAAAACCCTAAAACCCCAAAACCCTAAACCCCAAAAGCCCCTGTGTCATCGACACCTTTGACTGCGAACTGTCACAGCTTTCGAGAGGAGTTCTCATCTTCGAGGCGTCCCTTGTTGACAGTGAAAACATCCGCACTCTAGTGTTTGAAAGCTTAGTTGCTGAGTCCATAAGCCCCCCAAAAGTGTACACTTTCGGTTTTATATTGGGGAATATTATCCCAAAAAGTGTAAAGTGTATCCACTCAGCTGCTAAGAAGAGAAGAGGATACTAATACAGTAGTTTTGAGAAGAGGGGCAGGTCCACGAGGAACTGGAAGGGGTTTCCTGCCACTGCAGGGTTGAACAAGAGTTCCTGCAGTTTTTTGGTGTTAGGGGTTGGGTTTAGGGTTTGTTTAGGGTGCAGTGTAGTGGCTTCTGCAGCGAGAGAAAGACTCCGTCAAGCTGTGCAGTAAAGAACAACTCTAATGGCTTACCCCTTTCGAACTTCTTGAGGGCTTAGGGCTACGGCTTAGGGTTTGGGGTTCAGCATCTTCTTCAGCAACAAATGTCCAGAGCAAAACCCCCAAACCATACATCTAAACACCCTACAGCATTATCATCCTGATCCTTGACCCACAAAGCCCTAGACCCTGCGTAACCCCCTGCACCTATTCAGCCCAAGTTAGCACGATGCCGCAAACCACAGAACAGCCCAACTCCTTATCAGTGGCCAACATCCTAAACGAGGTGTCGGTAAGGAAATATCAGTAGCTTAGGTTGTCAACGCATGGCTGTCGCAGATTGAGGAACTCCCCGAATGGAGAAACACAATGACACTAACTGAAGGCCGCAAGCCCCACCACAGAAAGAAAGAGCCGTGCTTGGAGGTTCATGGGTAGTCATACAGTAAGTAGGGTTATAATTAGGGTAGCTCTACTTATAACCCATATTAGGGGGCTTATAACCCCACTTATAACTAGCCATGAACCTCGGCTAAGCCGGGCTTGCTTGACTCTGAAAGCAGAAGACTGAGGAGGCCTCTTCATCGCAAAGGCCATTAACACCCCCTCTGCCTTGATGGAACCCATTGTGTGCAAAAACCACTGGAACGCCTTTACAGCGCTGACCGTAACTGTAAGGTTGCAACTCATAAAGTCCTCCGGTTTCCTGCGTAGAACCCTTGCGAAAGCATCATAAAAACCCCTCCCCTCCAGAGGGCATCGCTGTAAACCCCTGCTGAAACCAGCCCAAACCTCCCTTTAGGGGAATCCCTTAAAGTAACCCTTATGGATCTCTGACATAAGCCCTCCCTTTAGGGAACCCTTCAAAGGAACTTTGAAAAAGCCCTTAAAGGCCTCCGCCGCCACCGCTGGGTGCCGGGGCAGACTGGAAGGACGGCGAGGGCGCCGGCGCGGGCGCAGGCGCCTGAAGATGTAGCAATTTGGGTTCCTTAGGGATCTATAGGGATTTAAGGTTTAGGGTCTGAGGGTTTAAGGGTTAGGCTAGTTATAAGAAGGGTTATACGGGTTCATTTAAGGGTACCTTTAAGGGGTCTCTAAAGGTTGTTTGTCAGAATCAGAAATCGCATAAATAGGGTCCTCCACGATTTGAAGAGGGTTCCCTTCAAGGGTTACTATAAAGGTTACTACACAGGGGGACATCAGTACATCATCGCGTAAATAGGAACCTGGAACTCTGATTCTGTGGGCCTTTGTAGGGTTTTCAGGTTTCAGTACAAGCGAATCGGGGGGTCATCACTTTTTTTTGCGGGGTGCGAAATGGTGTTTACAGGTTTAGGGTGGAGGGTTAACAGCTAACGGCGTTAACCGGGTGCTTTTTTCAGGATTGAGTTGGGAGTCTCGGGTTTAGTAGAGAGGGTTGGTGTGTGGTCTTTGCGGTTTTTCTGATTCTTCACAGCTGTTGTCTTTACAGAGCTTTATCTGGCGTCAATGTGGGCTAGAGTGGGGTTGGCCGTTTGAGTTTCCTGGTTGGCCCACCGGATCCTGTGCCTCGGCTTTTTTGGGATATAGGGCTTCAGGGTTGACGGGATCGGGGATTGACATTCAAAGGGGTAGGATTTAAGGGTTCGCCCTTATAGATGCCCGTATAGGAGCCCTTAAAAGGAGCCCTATAAATCCCTTAAAGGAGCCCTTAAAGGGACCCCTGACACAGGGTCCGAGCTGCACGAGACCTCTCGCGGGTGGTCGTGCAGAATTTTTCATGAGTCTTGTGCTAGACCCCAGAGTATCCTAGGAATAAAAAGGGTGCCTTTTTGGGTTCAAAGTGAATCTAAACCCTAGAAACGGGAATAAGGGCCTACTCTGGGTCCTAGTGTGGCAGTTGGGTGTTGGGCCCATTATACCTTAAACGATTCTGTAGAAGCCTTCAACCTGTATCGTTAAAATACGGATCCCCCAAATAGTATAGGTAATTATTTTAAGGCCCCTATGGTAAGCTTGGCGGTCCTGTTGATGGTGATTTAAAGTTTCGGAGACCCAGCCCCTTCCCCAAAGACTCGGATTAACAGGACTACTCTTCTACAAAGGTTTGCATGCGCCCGCTTTCCCTCCGTTTGTCCTTCACATTCGAGGCACTGCGTTGCAACTGCGAAGTCTTAGGTGCTTCCAGCCACACCTGGTCCCACACAATATCTCGTCCCCGTGGTTGGCTCTCAATTGCGTCACTTGTGCTGTCCTGGTGGTAGCAGCGGCGATGATGGCGACAAAGGCGACAAAGACAATTATGGTGTATCGTGGCGACGATGATCAGACCATGAGGCGATTTCGAGTAGTAGCTTTACTAATTACTTCAGGCCCATGCACACCATTAAACCACAATGAAACACATGAGCGCCTTCACAAGTCATAAAGGTATTCGTCAGTGTTCTTGGTATCATATAACCTACAAAAACATCAACACTTCTTGAAATCTTGAAGACCCTAATATCGGCACAGCGGCAGGCACGGGGACGTCGATGCCAACGTCACGGTAGCCTCGACTGTGGTAACATTTTCTGGCTAAGAATGCCACTACTACAACTACTACAACTACTACTACTACCACTACTGCTACTACTACTACCACTACTACTACTACTACTACCACTACTACTACCACTACTGCTGCTGCTACTACTACTACTACTACTACTACTACTACTACTACTACTACTACTACTACTACTACTACTACTACTACTACTACTACTACTACTACTACTACTCGAATACCCAAGACGTTTCGGGGTTTAGGATTTACTGACATCCCCGCCTGCCTGCAGGAAGCACACCGGAAGACAGAAGGAGTACCCCCTTTAGGCTTTGGGGTTTCGCTAAACCTTAATGTTTAGGGGGCCCTTAACACCCCAAATACCACATCCTCAAAGCCCGTCTGATGAGACAAGCTGCCGTTGGCCGTCGTCATCATGTCCTGAGCTGCTGTGATGTCTGTCGCGGGGAGACTCAAGAAGTTGCTGTGAGCGGTTTCGGGCTTGAGCTTAAAGTAAACATGTAACCTCCGATGGGGCTACTATGCTTGCTGTTCATTAGTTGATTAGTGTATAAGAGGTCTTTGAGACCATGTCAACAACTGGCATCTCTATTGCGATCACCACCACTGGTGGAGCTGTTCCTTTGCTCTTCTTGTTCTGGCGGCCGTCATTCAAATTCTAGTCCTTTCACATGAACTCAAGATTAAACGTCATGCGACTGTTCGCATTGATAATCATGTGTACGCTACCACTACACTTGCTCGTCTCTGTTGCTAATTGGGCTATGAGATGCAGCAGGACCCATCATATGGGATCCTCTAACATGTTTGGGTTCGTTGTTACAAGTAGCTTGCCTGAAGGTATCTAAGTTCCTGAGTAGCCCCATAATAATTGTACATTCCTCTGCAAACGTATGTCACCAAGAAGTGAAGCAAGCAAACGACACCCTCGAGCACCCGAAATTAACCCAAAGACCCGAGATGGCTTCGCCAACAAGCGAACCGGCAGCATATACATACACGTATATGGGAACAGGCCGGTATAGAAAGGGACCCTAAAGCAAAGTACCACTCAGGAACTTAGGTCTGACCGCCCGGGGCCGAAGGCAAGGGCCGAAGGCAAGAGCCGAGTCGCCCATGCCGCCTTCTTCACCTGCCAAGCTTGGGTGGATTTTGGGCCGAGCAAGGTCGTAAGGGGCTGAAATAACATTTTCAATTGCTAAATCGGGGGCTCCTTATGATAACTAGAGTATAATGAGCCCCCAAACCCTAGTCTAATTATTAAGGCCCCATATTAACCGTCAGCCTGCGTCTAATTGTGCAGAGAGATGTCCTTGTCAGTGTCGGCAAACCCTTACTAGAAGGAATCCTCAGTGTCCGGGCACCCTCAACGGGTACCCCGACACAAAATCATAAAGACCCTTGGGAGGGGGGTAGTGGGTCTTAATACCCATAATAAGGCCCCTAAGGGCCCCTATGACAAAAGACAAGAACACCGCGTATGGGCTGGGAAATAACACTCTTCTGCCTACGGCACGCTGCTGCAGCTGCTTGCGGTGGAAAGAAGTCGTGCCAATCTTGCCACCAGCGTTCTGCTACTACTCTTACTACTCATTCAAAACTTTTGCCTGTATGCTGCTCTCGGACTACAGTCTTCTGCCGCAGATGACGGTACCATCATCAAGGTTCGATTTTACAGGCGATTCCAGGAATTGCAGTGCTCTGAAGACCTATGCGGAGAACTTATGGTTTAGGGGGCCAAGAAAGGCCCGGAATTTCGATCAACCCCCAAAACGTTTTGGGGCTGGGGACAGGCACTTAAGGATAAGGCTTTGTGGAGTTTTAGGACCCAGAAGCTTTGCAGTTTTGACACTTTGCCCTAAAACGTCGGGACCCTACTCTTGAGCTCTTTCCCCTATGGGGGAGCCGGAAGAAGTTCTGTCGGTCCATGCTTCTACGTGACGCCCTCCGAGCTTCCCGAGATAGCCCTTCGTAATGGGTTCGGCTAGGAACTCCAATGCAGTCCATGCTGAAGAGATACTTGGAGGTTCATGGGTAGTTATAAGTGGGGATATAAGTCCCCTAATATGGGTTATATAAACTTTTGTTACCCTAGTTCTAACCCTACTTATACCTACCCTAAAACTAAAACCCTAATCCCCAAACCGTATAACCCTTTTGATCCCTTTACGGGAACCCAACTTATAACTACCCATGAACCTCCAAGTAGAAGGACCGATGATTTCGGCTTCTTTGCTATCGCAGCCGTGCGAAGCTGGGAAGCTTCGGGATTTATGTGGGAAGTTCTGAAATTATGGGTACCTTACTTTAGGGGTCCTCGAATAAGGATCCTACTATTTAGGGTCCCATATTAGGTCCCCTATTTTCGGCAACTCCCATGGACTTATGGTTTATTGCGCTCCGTTTCACACCCTACATCCGCAATGCACGGCTCTTCTCCTTCCCGGGACTCTTGAAGCCCCCAGCGCCTGTTTCTGGTTCCTCATGTACTCCTCGTACTCCTTTGCTCTGATTGTTCTTTCGCAGCTAGGGACTTAACATCAGGCCCCAAAAATGACCAAGGAGGTTTCGTCTTAGAAGTTTGGTATAACATACATACCCTTCGGACCTACTCCAGCGAGTAAGGCTCTTTCTTATAGAACCCCTATTTTTGCTCATTATAATATGTTCCTTTCTGGGGCCCGTTAACGGGACCCTATTAATAGTACTAAGGCCCTTGTAGGGCTTCCCGAAGCCACGGCCAGCACTCCCTGAGCATGACATGCGGAAAGCGACGACGACCACGACACGCGGATGTACTTTTGCATAAAATACACATAGACGAGAACATCAATATTTGTAGGAAGAGCATAGCCCCGTCGCACCAACTTATTTAATTGTATCGTGCAAGTATGAATACTCGCAAATGCCCCTTAAACCCCAAACCCTTAACCCCTAAACCCTCAACCCCAAACCCTTAACCCCTAAACCCTCAACCCCTAAACCCTTAACCCCTAAACCCTCAACCCCTAAACCCTTAAACCCTAAACCCTCAACCCCTAAACCCTTAACCCCTAAACCCTAAACCCCTAAACCCTAAAACCCTTAAACCCTTAACCCCTAAACCCTAAACCCCTAAACCCTAAAACCCTTAAACCGTTAACCCCTAAACCCTAAACCCCTAAACCCTAAAACCCTTAAACCCTTAAACCCTAGATCGTGTACCTTCTGGAACCCTGAGCCCTACTACCCCCGAGGCCATGAGAGTTCTTCTGCTCCTAGGCTCCTAAGTAGCCCCATAACTTACCTTGGGTTAGTAGGGAATGGAGGAATGGAGGGACCCTTAGAGGAACCCTTATAACTACCCATGAACCTCCAAGTATGGGTGCCAAAGGCGAGAGGGCTCTGGGGATCGGAAGTTCCAAAACTCATAGAGAAAGCCTGTCAAGTCGAAGGGGCTTACTTACCTTTGGGTTAGTAGGGAATGGGTTACTATAAGGGATCTATAAGGGTACTATAATATAGGAGCCTTAATCATCCTATAACTTACCTTGGGTTAGTAGGGAATGGAGGAATGGGGTAAAATTATAACTACTATTACTACCATTCTTCCATTCCCTACTAGCCAAAGGTAAGCTAACGGCAAGGGCAAGGGTACCCTTTCTCGATCTTATACTTATACTATGTATCATAGTCTAGTATACAGTGCAAGCTATCATAATAGTAAGGGTACCTCAAGTCTCAAAGAGCGGTCATGACATAGAGGGGAGCCGGATTAGCTCAACTTAGGAAGAATCTTCTAATGGTAAGGGCACACTTCTTGTCCCTATGTTCGGTTTTAATCAGGGGACCCTGAAAGGAAAATCATAGTGAGAGTACACTTCTTTTTCCTACTTTTCGATTGAAGTTAAGGGGACCCTAAAAAGGAAACGGGGCAAAAAGGGTTTACTGGGGAACCTCTCAACGCTTGGTTTTGGAGAGGAGGGCATAGGGGCCTCAAGAATTACTAAACACTATTTGTGTTTTTGCGGGGTGGGTTCCTTTAAAGGGGCCTGTAAGGGGTACCACAATGGCTATGATAAGGATGTAGTATACTTGGAGGTTCATGGGTAGTTATAAGTGGGGTTATAAGTTCCCAATTCCGGGTTATAAGTACAGATACCCTACTTATAACCCTACTTCTAACTACGCATGAACCTCCAAGTAGACCCTTAGAGGAACCCTTATAACTACCCATGAACCTCCAAGTAGGGGTGCCAAAGGCGAGAGGGCTCTGGGGATCGGAAGTTCCAAAACTCATAGAGAAAGCCTGTCAAGTCGAAGGGGCTTACTTACCTTTGGGTTAGTAGGGAATGGGGTACTATAAGGGATCTATAAGGGTACCATAATATAGGGGCCTTCATCGTCCTATAACTTAATTTGGGTTAGTAGGGAATGGGGTACAACCATAACTACTATAAGGGGGTAGGGGTTTAAGGGTTTAGGGGGTTTAGGGGTTTGGGGGATTTAGGGTATAGAAGCCCGATAGAGCCTTGAAGGGACCTTGCAGAACCTTGGTTCGGATATAGACAAAGCTAGGGCATACTACTCGTACTTCTTCCGAGCCCTATAGTATGTCGTCGAGCCCTGGCACGCCCCAGCCAAGGCTTTTGATGCGAGGTTTGGGCGGCTCTCAGATGTAGAGGCTTTGATGGTCACACTATAAAAGCCCCATGAACATACCTGTACTACAGTGGTCTTAATAATTAGGATGGCGTTTGGGCGTATACTATACCAGAATTATAATAGGGAACCCCCTAACATAGTAATGGTCCTACATTACCCGTACAACCCTGGGTCCCGCAAAAAGCACCAGCCACCGAACCTCAAACCTCACAGCACGGAAGGGCCATATTGATAGGGGGGTTTAAGATTCTTGGGTTAGGGATTCCTTAATATGAACCCTATTATGAGAATCCTAATCCCCACTAAACCCCCATAGGCTAAAACCCCTTTTGGCCTCATATGACATATGCAGATCCGGCCACAGGGGTGCCACGGTCTGCTGCAGTGAACTTCCGGGCCTGCCTTGTTTCGGAAAGGACTTGAGAGGCTTCAGGACTTCAGTTTTAGCGTTTTGCAGGGTTTAACATCAGGTTCGGACTTCAGCAGTTTTCTGGGCTTAGGGGATTAGGACTATTATGGACTTTCTGTTTGATTTGTACGGTATTCTACCAGGATATGCGCTTCTGGTCCTGCAGAAAGCTTTAGAGTTCCTTGCTTGTCCAGTTTCCTGGGAGAAACTAGGCTAACCTTTGGGATGCTAATGGGGTTGTAATATCCCCAAAAGTTAATGGCCACTCACTGCACTACTAAAGGCTTTATCCTTTGGCTTGGCTTCGTGCTTCTCGGAGACTCCCAGATCCTTGAAACCCAAAAGTAAGCCCTGAAGCCTAGTATGATGTGAACCCTCGAAAGACACCACGTGAGTGGTTGTCAAGATTGTAGTCCCTTTTTTGGGTCCGGGTCCCTTATACAGTACGACACCTTTTGTTTAGGGTCCCCCCAAAAGGGACCCTAGTTTTGACAACCACCCACATAAAAACGCTGTAAGGCCTTATGGAGCTGCACACATCCAAAGATCATGTCCATTGGGGCTTCGGTTTCGGCGAGCCTTACAGTGGGGCTTTCAGTGTTACGATAGGCGCTCTTCAAGGCTGCACGGGTTTTGCGAATGAAGGAGTGTTAACTGAGTTGCTGAGTTCATAAGCCCCCCAACAGTGTACACTTTTAGTTTCATATTGGATAAAGTATTATCCCCAAACAGTGGGCACTTTTTGTTTCTCATTGGGTAATACTATCCCAAAAAGTGTAAAGTGTATCCACTCAGCTACTAAGTTAAGATTGGGCCTTCCGGGCTTCGGCCCAAGGCTTATGTCTATACCCTTCTTAGAACCCTACAGCCATTCCCCCATTCCCCACTAAGAACCAGGGAGACGAGGCAGGACCACCAGAATGGGACGGGGGCCGTCTTTTGCAAGGCTCAGGATCTGCAAGTCAACGCCACGCCGCTTTGGGGCAAGGATCCCTCAAAGGAACCTTCCTTAAAAGGTCCCTCAAAGGAACCCTCCTTAAAGGGTCCCTCAAAGTAAAGGATGCTCAGAATGCATATGGTAATTCAGAGCATCAAAGGAACCCTCCTTAAAGGATCCCTCACAGGAACCTTCCTTAAAAGGTCCCTCAAAGGAACCCCCCTTAAAGGATCCCTCAAAGTAAAGGATGCTCAGAATGCCTCTGGTCATTCAGAGCATCGGACCGCAGAGTTTCAAAAACTCATACACGGAAGATTTTAGCAAGTAGCTTTCAGTTTCGAAGAGGCGTCGGTTGCAATCGCGGTGGCGGCGAAGCTGTAAATGGATCGCGAACTGGCCAAAATAGTCGAAACCCTGGCTCACATGGAGCCGGCTCCACGGGTTGATGTCCAAACTTACCTTCACCCTCTTGTCGCGGAGGTAGGCGCTCAACGGTTCCCGGGGCGGAATATGAATCTCATCAATCTCAGTGTAGATATCTAGCGACACCAACACATCACGGATGGACTGTCCAAAGACACCAACCGGGATGAACACATGTTGCACATCACCGTTGTCTTGCAACTGTGTCAAGTTGAGGTGCCTCAGCAATGCCCACCGAAACTGCACTAAGCCGTCTTCATCTGTTGTCCATGGCCCACCTCCGTCCCCATTCAACTTGCAGTCGAACTCATGTGACCAGTGCATGCGCCGCATGAGCAACTTATGGTTCAAGTACAGGGCCTTCAGAACGAACAGGCGACGATTGTCAATTGAATAGATCTTTCCATCGGTCGGACATCGACAAACTCGAATCCTAGGAACCCTTCGCAGCACACAGTGTCCCGATAACAACTTGGTCGTCCACTCAAGAAGATCTTCTTGGCAGCCGTGGCCACCGTGGATTCTGTTCTTGATTGACAGCTGTGTGTTGTTCACCCGCTCCACATTGAGATAGACATCTGGCTGCGTCATCGCTCTGAGTGTAACTACCCTTACACCGCTGCAACTTGATGACGCTGCGGATATTGGCGGTTGCATCAGGGATCAGAACACACGCAATCAACTTGCAACAATGATGGCAGGAAAACTTACATGTCATTAGCTAGTGTCTGCAAGATGTATGATGAACAACTGTCGGACCCGTGATGCACACGCTCGAAGGGCTTTGACGAGTGGCGGCAGGGTCCTTCATTGGGGCTTGCGAGGCTGGTGCGACAGGTTTCCTGCACATATGCCATAAAAGTCCCGCGACTTGCAGTCTGCAGTGGTTTTGAGAAGTAGCACCGCGTCACCTCTTGACTTTACATAGAGCCAGCATCACTGGTTTTCAAGCAGCTGCCAAATCCTTTCCTCTCCCACTCCCTCCGCATCAACGAGTGCCTTGGTTAATGTTTTGAGTAAATACCCTAATCCCTCAGAGCTAAATCCACATTCGACTCGAGTTGTCAAGCGGCATCTGGGTCAAAGCGCCGCGATGGCGGGTGGCTCCAGACACGAAAGCCTGGTTTGTACCATGCAGGGTCGAGGCTTTTAGCGTGTGAGGGCTCGGGCATTGGAGCTTTAAGGCTAGCGGTTTGGGTTCAGGTTTCCTTTTCAACAGCCATTTTTCTCTGCATGTGTGCTGCTGAATAGAGTTTGGGGGATGTGACTTCTGAACGCCGCGGGTTCTTTCTAGGGATCTTTGTTCTAGACCTCCTACAATCAAGTACGGTGTGTGGTTGCTCGGCCTGTGTGTCCAGTTTCCAGGGGTGCTGAAGGTCAACCGATAGGAACACCTACCGACGGTGCTGGCCCAGAGAGGTTTGAAGTTACTTACTCGACTACCGAGGGTGTGACTGGCAAGGCCAACTCTCATACCTAAACCCTAGGCCGAAAAATCCTGACAGCATCAGGAAGCAGTCATTGACAGCTCTCAAGGACACCGAACAAGGAGTCCACACGCCCGACGGCGAAAACAGAACGGCTTGTAAAGAGGAGCCTGGACAACAGGGAAAAGACCATGTGTCACATGTTATATCGCATTCTGTGCAATAGGGAAGGTATTGTATACGCATATCATATCATGTCATGCCATACCATATCATTTCATTAGCATATCAGTTCATGACATATGCTATCATCTTATGTGCTGTGCCTGGTGGTCTACTTTATATGTGATGTATTCTGCATTGTTTTGTTACGCTTTGCATTGTGCTTTATACTGTTGCGGCTTGTGACTTGTGTGCGAGAAGTCACAAGAGAGGACACCCAAACTGTTTTGAACAACTCTTCTAGAGGAACTTTTACATACACACACACATACATATACATGTACACATACATATACATATACATATACATATACATGTACATGTACATATACATATACATATACATATACACACACACACACATGACATTCAAAAATAAACCAAAAATTGAACCCCAAACCGTGTCTCAGATTTTCCAGCGAGGATCTCTCATGGTCGAATCACTGCCACACCATACATAATGTAGGGGCCCTTATAATTAGAATACATGTTTTTGGGGGTCTATTAATTATAATACGGAACCCCCATCTCTAATTATGATGGCTCCTGAAGGACCATGACGTCACTGACTGCCTTCGGAGCCTGGCCCTGATCCCTGCACCATGAAGCCCCAAACTCCCGAACCCTAAAACCCCTAAAGCCCCTACCAGTAAAATCCCTAACGTCCCTAGAATCCCTAAAGTCCCTAAAACGCTCCAACGCCGAAAACCCTAGGAGACCACTAATCTAGAGTCTGTGCAGAAGCTTGGTAGACTCCCAACAAAGCTTGAATCCCACAAGCCCTAGAAACCAAAAACCGAAACCCCCAAAACCCTTCCAACCCTGTCTTTCAACTTTGTATGATAAGGCCTGAAAAACACCTTAATTGAAACCCGAAAATCCCAACCCAGCAACCAAACCACCAAACCCTGGCCTCGTCCTCCTCCGGGAGTGCACCGCCGAGCAGTGTGATCGCCTTGGAAAACCACTGAGAATAGGGTCCCTTTCTCGGGCTCCTGAAGCGTTTGCACGATAAACGCTCCTAGTAGTCCTGGTATGGGAATTCGCTACTCAGGTTACGAATATGGATTCCATGATGTGAGGGCTCCTTTTGGGGGTGATTAGTTAACTTTGCTTCCAGGCTGCCAGGCTTAAAATATCGTTCAAACTTTCTGTTGGAACTTTCGGGACTCACTGTTTTTCTCCAGGGGCTTGAGATTAAGTATGCTGGGGTTTGGTTTTAGGGGCTTAGGGCTTGATTTCTTGGCCTTCAGGGTTAGTTTGCTTGGGGTTTGGATTTGCATGGCTCTTTCCTCAAAGTTTGCGCTGTTTGGGCCCGGTCTCAGAGACTTTGCAACTTCGGGTCCCGATTCGATTTGTTTACAGATCAATATTCCCTCAATAACTAAATCCAGAATCCTGTTTGATGGTCTAGAGATGTTTAGCGTCTAGAGTGTCTGGGCCGATGTGGAGGGCACTGGTATTTGTCAATTGAACCGTTCTCAACTTTGTCCAACCGTTGCTGTATGCTTTTGTAGAAGGCTGTTGTCCGAAAGAACGCCTCTCACTCCAACCAAACCAAAAAGTCGTAAGCAACGGGGTTATTGCTCTGTCAGTGGGCAGAGAGCACTTGACAACTGCAAAGTTCGTGCGTCCTGCGCATCCCCACATCTTGTCACATCGACCGACGCGCAAAATCAATTCTCAATGAATACTCTCTCTCTCTCTCTCTCTGCACGCTGCCTGGGCGATGCTGCCCGTTGCCCAGCACGAGAAAAGGAACTGAATCCTATCTGCATATATATATACATTACATATATGTGCATGTGTGTAATTTGTTCGTGGGGACATCCTGAGGTCTTTGCATCTGGCTTGAACTCTGAGAGCCACGCCAGCAAAGTCATGGCCAAAGCCACGCAGATGCACCTCGAGGGCCAAAACTGTTAAAGCAGTGGAAGTAGTTAGAGGTCATGAATGAAGCTAGTAGGCATCGCACAGCCGCATTCGCTTCGTTTTTTGTTGTCGTCGTTGCTGTTGTCGTCGTTCGCAATAGCAGTAGCAGTAGTCACTTAGTAGTCGTCGTCTTGGACGCAGCGCCATTGGTGGTGGAAGCAATAAGACAAGTCACCAGCACCCGCCACCACCACGACCGCCACCATCATCATCGTCACTATCACTACCATCATCACCATCGTCAACATCGTCATCATCATCATCATCAACATCATCGTCATAATCTCCATGCAAACGCCAAGAAGAAAAGCAGCAGCATTCTCAGTTTGTTCACATCCAAAGGACCCACGACAACAAGGATAGGCATTCACCGCTTGCCAAATAGTGGTACCTTGCCACGGTTCCTACGATACTAGAGTTCTATGAACATGTCTCGCTCTGCCAGCGTCAAAATTTGGATCATTTACAGCCTCAAGAAGAGTCTGAAACATCTTTGTCTCTGTGTAGTGCTCCAAGGGACGGAAAGAGAGGCAGTCTTTGGGAAGGCATCCTCTCAAGAACGGTGGTGTGTTGAGGGATGTTGGGGTCGGGGTTTTGGGGTTTTGGAGCTTGCAGAAACGGAAAGATTCGGAATCACACTTTTTGGTCTTCAGAAGACCCTCAGACGAACAGAGATATGTTGGGGCATCAGTGATCCCCGACCTTCTTTGTAACTAAGCCGCTATGACTAACTGATTACGAAGGACAAAGCTGATTGCACGCAGCTTTTCGGGTAGACCAGAAAGGTACCTCTGTGCAGATGCAGCTACAACTCTCGGGACATGTCATACTCTGAACTCTACGCGCGTTCACAAAACACTGATGACACTGATGCTGACTGTTCAGTTCGCTAATGGTGAAAAACCACAAACCTTAGTGAAACCGAGTGAACGCATATGAACCGTGATGCATCGCACCAAAAAAGATGGAAAGGCCAGTGCATGAACAGAACCCTGAACCTCAAACCTCAAAGCCCTGACCAGCTCCCACCCAAACCTTAAACCTGCAAGACAACCTGTATTGAGGGCGTGTGAGTTGAGACGCCAAGATCAAGAGGCCAGCGTGGGAGTTCCAGTAAATGAGGGAGCCTATCCCGTCCGCACTGCGAGCCACACTGCAAGGACGGAAAAATGAGAGTTAAGACAACGCCACCACTGTTTCGCAGGATTCGACGCTTCGGGTGGATGAGCCTTTAGCTCTTGCTTCAAGACAATGTATTTCCGGATCGTAGTATGAGTAGAGCCGTTTCAATTCGTCTTGGTTTAGGGCGTCGAGTTAGTTTGAAGGGGCTGTAGAACTTAGCAGTTCGTATATATCCATCGCATAAGAGAGAGATATACAGGGGCTTGCACGACTTGACATGCTCCTTAGCTCAGGGATGCTTCAGTGTCTGGGTCTCGGCTCTGGCCGAGGTTTAGGATAGGGTTTTGGGGTATGTTATCCTATAGTTACAATGAGGATCACCAACAACAGTTCTGGTAGTTGTATATGCCCCTATATTACGACACCTCACGGTTTCAGCTTTTCTTTGGGACCTTGGTATTTTACAACAGCAATAATTAGTCGTAAATGACTCTTTTAAGCACCTGTTTTACAACCTGATGCAGCCCTTCTTACTCCAAGTAGAACCGCAAGTCATCCGAAGCACCTGTCCTGTCGTCTCAGCACTTCCAGCGCAAGTCGCTCCACTCACGTGCACTAAGTCTCTCCCCGCTAGGAGCCGGGTCGTGCAGCAGGCGGGTCAGGTATAGGAGCCTTGTAATGAGAGGAGGGTTTTGGGGTATTCTTTGCTATACTTATAATAAGGAGCCCCTTGGAATAAATTGAAGAGCTCCTAGAAAAATGCCTAATTCCTCAGAGTCCTATAGTCCTCCCTCCTTGAAGTAACCCCTGAGGAGCCTTAGGGCCTTCAGGGGTTTAGGGCTTTTGGGGCTTTGGGGTTCACAGGTAGGGTTTTGGGGCACCTCGTCTCACTATAGGTTTATTCGGCGACCCTAGAGCATACGCCTACTTATCATGTCGACTCCTAAATTGGTCCTATATCACGGAAATCGGTAAACCACCGCTAGTTGCTACTACCAGCTGCCTCCAACACCACGGTCACCTCGCAAACTGACATCCGACAACATCTAACCAACCCTTGGAAGAAACGTCTCTTCCTTACTTCCTCCCTTGCTTTGGAACATGACCTGCCGAATCATATCATGGTGTGAACACAGCTACGTTTTCGATTCGCATCTATCATCATCTACCCATCGGAAACATCCGCGGCAAACCGCAGCTGCTAGGATATGTTAACAGCGCCAAAGCCTGAACTCCTGCCGACCCCTTGTACCCTCGTAAAACACGTATAGAGCCCCCACATAGAGAAGCTTCAATAGAGGACGAAAAATTGACCGATCTTATTCCAAGGGGGCATTCTTGGCACCAACACCATATTCCAGTTCTATCATAAGCTCAGAATCCCAACTCTCATATATCTATGTTTACATGTATATACCCTGCTCAACTTACTGAGGCCCCCTATACTCAACTCGGAAGATTCCGAACTCCCCGCCTCCCTCCCCCCTGCCCCGCCGAGCGTCAGACAAAGGCTGCTGGCCGTAGAACTCCAGGTTCCAGTCGCTCGACTCGCCTTCGACCTATGGCTGATCCCTTTGGCTTTCACTAGGCTTTAGGGTTCCTTTAAAGGGATCTATAGGGTTGAGGGGGTTTGAAGCTTAGGGTTGAAGGGTTTAGGGGCTTTGGGGTTAGGGTTTAGGGGTTGAGGGCTTAAGGGTAGGGTTCAGGGGACCTCGGGTCTCTTTGGATTTTTGAGTAAAGGCAACTTTTAACAGGGTTGTCTTGTGCCCCTTTTGGATGTTAAGGAAAGCATTCATAGGGTTTGTCGTAGGTTTATGAAGGTTCTGGATGGCTGTCGGAGGATTCCTGTTGGGGTTTGACACGGCTTTGTTGGGAGTTCAAGGGGTTTGGTTTAGGGTTGAAGTAGCCATCGTAGTAGTTCGGGTTCGCATGTTCCTCTTTTAGAGCTGACGTAACTTGGCACTGTTCTCATGTTCATGTGACCTAACTTCTGTTATATCGATATATGTAGACATAAGACCATGCAGGTAGCGAATACATATATATATATATATATATGTATATATATATATATATATATCTTATATAACATTGTCTTCTATGCATGCACTCTTTACAACCCAGCTCCTCCCAGTCCGACGACTCTTCGTCCAAAGCTTTGAGGCCTTCCTTGATGCGGTCGTTGTAGACACCACGAATGGCAACAAAGCGAGGAAGTGCAGGAGCGGTCTTCGGCACCTGTCGGCGAGCAAACGTCCCGGCCTCTCCTTTCGGACGCCTCTTTCGCGGCGGTGGGTCCTTTTCGCCATCCTCCGACGGCAGTTCGGTTCGGGTTTTTTTGGAGGTAGGTGTCAGGTCCTCCAGCGAGCCCAACTTGAACAACTCCGCCACCGCTTGTCTTTTGCAACCGCCCGAGAAAACCAAGTGCTGCGACGACTCCTCCTGCTCCCCAGCTTTCTCGGACGAGCCCGTTTCAGGCCTTTGCCTTGCCTATAAGATTTGGAGGTGTTCGGGTATCTGAGGGTCTTGGATGTACGCTCCGAGTCGCGGTTCCGGATTTAGGGTCTGACGAAAGTGTGCGCGGTTTCCGAACGAGATGGATGGTTACTTGGAGGGTCGGGGGACTTAGTAACTGGTTATTTTCGGGACTGAGAAGTACTATAACCCCAATCAGGGTCCCTTTCAGGGTACTTATAAGTCTACTTACTACCTACTTACTAAGTCCCCCGACCCTCCAAATACTCTCAAAGAATTCCAATCTTTGTGCCGGGCGTAAATGGGGGTGTTCAGGCCTTGGGACACAGAACAATGGATGTGAAACTCAAATTGCAGATATGGATGCAACTTAACACGGACTACAATGTCGTAGCAGGCTTGCTTATGCATTTTGCCATGACAGCGATCATGGTGGTGCTGCTGCTGCATTCCGGTTGTCACTGATGCCCTCATCCTTGCTACCACTACTGTCAGGGCAAATACCAACCCAAGAACAGTACGGATTGCACACGACCTCGACAACGAAAAATGCTCACAAGGCGTTAAACTGGCTCCTGTTGGATGGGCATGCTTGGGCATCTGTATATGCTTGCTCTGAATTTGCTCGGGTAAGTCTCATAATTCAAAGAAGACAGGGCCGCTCTTCCTGGCTCCGTTCTACACTGATTATGTGGGGACGGGACGGGATAGCATTCGGGTTCCTTGATGTACTACTGTAACAAATCCCAAAACCTTGATTCAATAATTATTGCTTCTGTTTCAGGCCTCAGGGTTCCTGCATGTAATGGAAGCTATCCACAGACCCCCTCAAAGCCCCATTCTACTCATTCAAGCTTCTACTTCATCCAATTCCCTGATGTACTATACTACACCAAACCCCCAAACCCTATTAATTCTACCTATGCAAGCTTCTACTTCATGCAAACAACCCCCAGAGACTCCAATATCCCTTAATTAAGGAATATTCCTTAAACTATGGTAGGATCCCTTATAATGATTTAGGGTATATCACCTAATCAAGGAATATTGGAGTCTCTGGGCCCTGAGTTCTCGGACGCTGGGATTCGCAAGGATGTCAATGCGAAAAGCGTAGCGTGCACCAGGCTGGAAGCCTCCGGACCTCTGGGTTTTCTGAGGTTTAGGGGTTTAGGGGTTTAGGGGTTTAGGGTTTAGGGGTTTAGGGGTTTAGGGGTTTAGGATTTAGGGGTTTAGGGGTTTAGGGGTTTAGGGTTTAGGGGTTTAGGGTTTAGGGGTTTAGGGGTTTAGGGGTTTAGGGGTTTAGGGTTTAGGGGTTTAGGGTTTAGGGATTTAGGGGTTTAGGGTTTAGGATTTCGGGGTTTAGGGTTTAGGATTTAGGGGTTTAGGGGTTTAGGATTTAGGGGTTTAGGGTTTAGGATTTAGGGGTTTAGGGTTTAGGATTTAGGGGTTTAGAGGTTTAGGGGTTTAGGGTTTAAGCCAGAAAGTTGGAATATGATAATCCTAAACCCGTTATGGTAAATTATAAGGTATCCTACCCTGAAACCATATTCCAACTTTCTGGAGTTCCCTTTAGGGTTTAGGATTTAGGGGTGTAGGGGTGTCAGGCCTAGGGATGACTAGGGTATGTAGGGTTTAGGGACTGGTGGGTTTCTCCCATTAGAGAGTTTTTGTAGCGTTTCAGACTCAGAATAACTTTAGGCATTCTTTCGGTAAGGTGTAGTAGGCTTCCGGAATCATCCAGATTTCTCTTCATGGTCGGGCTGCGTCGTAACCCGTTCCAACAGTCGTATTCGAAGCCTCTCTGGGCGTAGCACTGCTGTTCTGATGCAGATACCGATTACTGTCCACCTGGCAGATCCGTCTTACCCGCGTTTTTCCGTCATTGGAACTTCGAGCACAGTGTCCTGTTCCGCCTGGCCTCGACTCTGGGTTCCTATTGTTTATCCATTACTCACTCACCTAGTTGAGTTAAAGGAAGTTGCAGTTTTGGCTGCTTGCGAGTTGGAGATATAGAATTCGCACGCGGGGTTCCAGGAACGATTACTTTGGCTGCAGGGTTTGAGGGTGGAGATTCGCGGATCAGGGCTTAGGAATACTAGGGATTACGGCTTACGGTTGCAGAGGGTTGAAGATCTACTGACAGGATCATGACAACTCCTCTTCTAACCACCTGAGTAATTTGGCCATCTCTGTTTTCTCTGCTTTAAAGCTTACAGCGAGGTCTACACCCCATGAAGTACCCAGCCAACATACATTTATCGAGACGATGTTGTTGAATCATGATAGAGTTTCGCGGGTATGTACATAAGACTTCACAAATCGATACTGGAACCCAAAATGTAGGCCCCTTCCCAGCCCGACAACCTTCAAGCTACAATCACCCATCCGCTACTCCCTAGTTGTCGGGCCGGCTACCTGCAAGACTGCAAGACCACCAACCAGAATCCCAGACCCGTTAGCCTTACCTCCCATGATTTGTAAGCCCTCAGCATTTCGCCCCTAAGTCGTCATTCCTATACCGCATAGTAAGTAAGCGCGAATGCCGAACCCGTCATTCCGAGACCCCGCAACTGTGGCAAAGGCCCCTCGACCTCAATGGTTGCGGTGCTGCCTGTCCACAAGGCTGAGGCTCACAGGGCATGAACATGTAGGATGTATGCATTCATGCTCCGGGTTGAAAGATAAGCCCTCAAGAACCTGCAAACATCTAAACCCGCAATCCCCAAGCTTCTACACGCCTAAAGCTACAGTCCGCAAAAAAAACCGTAAGCCCTGAACCTGCGATCTCCCTAAACTCTGCTTGCTCGCGGCCTTAAACATCGACTCCAAGCCACCGGAACCACACACCGTGGATTACTAGGATACTAGGATTTAAATATATAACTTACCATAAAAATAAGGATCTATCGTAAGTAATATAACTTACCATAAAAAAAAAGGATCTATAGTAAATAATATAACTTACCATGAACACAAGGATCTATAGCAAATCATCTGATTTCTGTAATATGGTAACTTAATGAAGACCAAGTGCTGGTGTTGCAGCCGTGTTGCAGGCATGCATGTACGCACTCCGGCCGCTTGCATGCCGATGCCTGTATGCCACCATCTTAATTTGCATACATGTACATATAATCCTGCATGTACATGTACACGCACGTCTGTATATCACAGTGAATATGTACATATAGCGGTTCCTCTATGTGCATCGGATAAGCAGCAACATGTCGTCACGTCCCGGCGTGCACCTGGGCTTGAAACGAACGAAAGCAGTATGACACCAACACAACAAATCTAAGTGTGCCAAGTAAACACGTGTCATGATGTGTATACATACATAGATACCGATGCATGCATATATATATATATATATATATATATATACACACACACAAGTTTTACATGCACATATGCATGCATGTGTATACATACATATATATGTATATATATATATATATATATACAGAAAATGCACAGAATGCCTGCCTATATCATCTTCGGGCTCCACAGCGTCGCAGTCTCTGTACACACTCTTTTCGCCGCGCTGTCATAAAACTCCAGCGACCCCTGGTTCACAACCCCAGCAAGGCTGCTGCAATGCAGAACACTGATGGACGCGGCCGACTGATACGGGCCTTATATCTTTCTTCTTGAATAGCACGGCCGTAGAAATTCTAAAACTTCTTAAGACTCAGGATCACAGTACTATGACCCTTAGCACAACATGTCGAAGGTAATCTCTTTTTCTGGCACTTGGAGTAGGGGGTATGCTGTTGGGAGGGCTGCATGGCAATTCATATACGAACCTGATTAAGAAACCCTGGATTTTGCTCAGGGTTGTTATTTATATGACCCATTATGAGCCCTAATCAATATACTGAGGTTATAGGGCCAGGGTTTCTTAATAAGCTTCCCACACTACATGGGACCCATATGCACACTCACCCAAACTTCCCAAACTCTAATGCAAACCTGAGTTGGAAGCCACGGTCCCAGTTCAACCCTTGAAATAATAGCGTCTGTAGCATATTACTTACTGCGAAGTTACGGCTTCTTTTCAGGAGCAGGCTCTAAGTAAATGACACAGTACAGCAGCGAAACTGCCCACACAACCCAAACCCCCAAACTCCCGACAGGATCCAAAAAGTAGATCTCTCAATAGAGGTTCCTATAAAGTACCCTTAGTAGTATAGGGCCCCAAATTGGGGGATCTACTTTCTAGATCCTCCTGGAATTCTGGGAACCCCCAAACTCCCAGGGTTCCGCTGGAGCCCGCTTGAAAGGCCCGGTGGGACTTTGTAAGCATCGCATCCCCAACGGGGATCCCCTTTCGGGTACTGCTAGTTCCTGAGGATTTAGGATCCCGTTCAGAGTACTTATGACTTATGACTCCCTGAAAATCGCTGTCAGTAATATAACATCGCCCGACCTTCCAAGCTCCCCCAAACTAGACAGCAAAGGTGGCGAAAGGTGCACAACAGGATTGGCTTGGGCTCATCTGCTGCTGCAGCTCTTCGTGGGGATTGTCGCAGATTCTTCGGGTCTTTCGGGTTTGGGGGCTGGCATTTTTGTTAAACACAAGGCGTGGTCGACTTTTTGGACCTGTTTTGACAAGAAACTTGCTAGGTGGGGTCTCTTTGTGTCATTTGAGTGATTCTGCTTCGACTGTCCAGCTGAATATTTCAGGTAGGTGGCAACGATGAGAAAAATGCTAAGCTCCAAGCTGTTCACCAATACTACCGTGGGGTATCCTTATTACAGTTATAGTAGAATGGGCCCCAAAACCCTATTCTAATCATTAAGGCCCCTGTATTGCGCTGTTTAGGGTTCAGGGTCTAAGATGTGGGCACCGGGTTTAGGTGGTCCGGTTTGCATTCAGAGCTCTTTGCTGTAGAACCTGATGCATAGAACCCCGCTGCAACGTATCTGCAGAAATCGGAATTTGGTGGAGAAAAAGGACCCCGAAACGACACCTTAGAACACGCAAACTCCAAGCAGGTCGTTAGGTGTGCGTTAACCCACCAAAAACCTACTTTGTAGGGCCCTATAAAATCCATACTAGGGTCTATAATAAGAACCAAGGTAGGGTTTGGTAGGCTTTTCAACCACGTGAAATGGCAGCGGGCCTACAGCTGTTAGGAGTTGCGAGGGCAAGGCCTTAGGGTTTTGGGTGAGCTCACAGCATCTCCGCCCAAGAACTTTTCTCTGAATGTCTCATGTAGACACCATGGTGTCGAACCTCCCAGTCGTCGCTTGCGCGACGCGGACGAGAGCCCCAACCAAGCCTCTCCACCGAACTCGAAGCACCTACCGCCTACAATTAGGGGGTGGATATGTGCTTTGCGTTGTCGTCTCGGCCCAGTTGGGGTGAGAGAATCGCACTCACAGTTCATCATCCAGATCTGGATCCATGATCTCTTGATTCTTCGAATTCCATGCCCAAATGTTGGCGGACCACTTCTCTCCGGCGTGGACCTTGCGGAGCATTGGGCTTGGCTCTGCTGGGCTGGTTAATTTGATCAGATAAGCCTGTGCCTATACCACAGTCCCATACCCAAATGTAATGTAACATCATGTAACATCACCGAACACAGCACAGCGTAACACGACATAAAATGAAACCACATGTCATAACCTTAAGGCCCTAGTGATTCACCTGATCTAGTTGTGCTGCTCCTGGGCCTGAACTTGCGCAGCGGGGACCCTAAAATAATACCCTAAATACCAGGATCCGAATATAGCACCCTAAATGCTCGGATCCCTTATTCAGTACCCTTAATGCCAGGATCCCGAATATGAGGACCCCAAGGTAAGGTACCCCTAATCTTCCGGATCTCCCATATCCGAGATGTTGGCTACGACCTTTTGATTAACACTTTGACCGTGGCCCGTGCGGAGACCTGGAGATGTAAGCCGGGGACAATGTTTCACATGATCCTTAATATGGCTATACGACACTAGGCACCAAAACCCTGTTCTATTTACAGAGGCCCCCTATGCTGTGGACCCATACTCGGGCTTGGGGCAAGCTATTTTGGTTTCTTGCTCAACCCTACTGCCCTGAACTCAGTAATTTCACCTGTCAATACCTTGAACCATCAAGCTAAAGGCCTCACCAGTAGGCCCTAAAGCTCAAGCATTAAAGCTGCAAGAGCTTGAAAGGTGGCTTTTGAGAGGAATCTCCGGTATTTGCTGTGGAGTTCAAAAGCCGCCAGCCACTGCAACCCCGGTTGAAATTCTCACCCGCAAACCGAGAAGCGTCTGTCCAAACCTGAAATCCAAACCTCCAGCCGAAAGACTAAACCTGGGTGGTCGTCAAAATTCTGGGCCCTTCTTGGGGCCTTCATATACTACGGCACGTAAGGTACCCCAAAAGGGGCCCTAATTTTGACAACCACCGACATGCGAGGGTCAGAGACGAGGGCAACCGTAAAAAGGCGAGTACCATAGGTGGAGGTCGTTGTTACCGGGACGTCTAAAGAAGGTAATGATTAGAAGAGGGTTTTGGGCTCCTTTATAGTGCAGTTATAGTGGGCAGCCCTAAGGAACAATTTGACAGTTAGGAACGCCGTAGCCCCTCAATAATAAATTAAGGGTACCCTTTTTCCTGCGCTTCTGTTTTCATAATGGAATCCAAAAAGAAGAAAGGCAAACCGGTACTACTCACGACTCACGAACCTGGACAAGGTACCCCTAAGTTCGAGGAAACTTCCCTGGGGCCTTGCAGCCTGCATGGTTGGAGGAGCGATCCAGCCGGCCGTCTGCATGCAAATTGTAGAACCTCACAACAAACAAGTCACTCAGTTCAGATTAGGGTTTAGGGCTTACAAACAAGCCACTCAGTGAAGTGGCACGATCATATAGAAGTACAATAGTATGTGGTGTAATGCATTAGCAAGAATGCGGTGAAGCTGTGGTTGCATAATCCCCCACACCCTGAACCCCAAATGCAAACACCCCGAAGCGACAGTGTGGGGCCTTAATAATTAGAACAGGGATTGGTTGGATTTTGTAGTAGCATAATGCTCATAATAAGGAGCCCTAACAAAGCATGGGTAACTATTCAGGCTCCCATAGTTGACAGTTCTCTGCCATGCTGAGTGCTCGGGGTCGGAGTTGTTTCTGTGCCGACATGGGTCGTTCTCTGAATTAGGGCCCCATTGTAGGCCCGAAGAACAGGATGGCACCCTGAAGCAGACCCTAGAAAGGATCTTCATTCCTCGAACTAACCACATCTCAGTCGCAGACGAACTGCACCCCTACAGCTCTGACTGTGCAGCCCTGCTTAATCACCCCGGAGAGAGCCTATTAAGACGCCTCCGAAACACGCTAAACCCCAGGCAAATTCCCCAACCCCGTGAGTTCTGGGAGTTCCGAACTGTTCCAAAAATTCCTGAGCTTACGATAATACATATGCACAAGACCACATACCCGGCTACGGCCCTAGACTTAACTTAAACCTTAAACCATCTTAAACCGCTTAACCCGAAACCCTTTACAAAAAAAACCTATCGGATGGTGCGGCTCTCCTGCCAGGCCGAGGCACAACACAGCCTTGCCTTGCTTCGCCGGCACCTCACTTGAAGGGCTCTGGGGCTGAGGGGGGGCTCCGTCCCTTTTGGGGCTGATGTTCTTGGGGCTTGAAGGTACTGAAGGGGCCTGAATAATTACCTATACTATTGTGATTTTACTGATTATGCTTATAGTATAATATACCCCCAAACCCTATTCTAATAATTAAGGCCCCTACATTAGGGCCCCCACGTTGGGGTGGAGCGGTAGGTGGGTGCAGGGTTGACGGTTCAGGGCTTGGCGACTTTGGTCTAGGGTCAGGACGCTGAAGCCTCTGTACATCATAAAAGCCGCATCTATTGACAGTCTTCTGCTTCGGCATGCCATCATGACGCTGCGCAGTTTTCCATGAGTAAGAAGTAGTCCTGGTAGCAATGTTGGTCCGAACACCCACAGCCCTAAACCCTGAAGCCTACAAAGCTCAACTATGGAGGTTGGAAGATTTACTAGTAGCAATCTCCCTTAGTGGAATGGACTTCCAAAACCTTACTCCCCTGTATGAAGCCCAATACGACGCTATAAGCAATCTGCTAAAGCGATCTCATCTTCTCACAATGAAGTCCCCCCCCCCCCCCCCCCCCCCCCCCCCCCCCCCCCCCCACCCCCAACATTTGAGAACCCTGCCGCGTCCCTCAAATCAAAGAACCCTGAAAAGAAGCCTCGCATTCCTACCGCCCTAAAAATTTCCATAATGACCTTGTAGCAACCCCATCATGATGACTCTTATCGAGCCCGTATGGTAGCTCTCTTCTTCAACAACCACGCCCAACCAAGCATGTAAGGCCAAACGGCTCAAAGTTCTCCCACAGGCTTCCTTCGACTATAATCTAAATCGATTCTGCTATATTCTACTACATCCCACTGTACTATACTCTACTTTACTGTACTCTACGATACTGTACTACACTACACCATTTTCTACCCTCTTCTCAGCTCTTCACGGAATATACGGTTATACTGTACCAAACCACGTTATAAATCGATGTTCTATCCCATTCTTAACTCCTTCACCCAAAGGGTCCGGGGTACTGTTATGGGGGATACTTTCCCAACTCATAGTAGTAATTCCTAATATGTAAACCCTACATTCGACTCTACAGGTACTTTGGAGACTTTGGGTAAGGATGGGACTTAGTATCTCGTGTTGTAAATAAGGTAACCTTACTTACTAAGTCCCATACGGAACCCCAAAAAGGTAGGTGTTTCCGGCTACAAGAACTCCTTAAGGAACCCAAGCCCGGTTGTTACAAGTAGGGTTATAAGTAGGGTAACTAGACTTATAACCCAAATTAGGGGACTTATAATCCCACTTATAACTACCCCTAAGCCCTAATCCCTAAAACCTAAATCCCTATAGAGCCCTTTAAAGGGACCCCTTAAAACCCCACGAAAAACTACCCATGAACCTCCAAGTATACTACATCCTTATCATAGCCCTTATAAGGAATCCCCCCCCCCCCCCCCCCCCCAAAACAAATGTGAACCTCCAAGCAAGCCCGGCCTGAAGCCAGGAGCTGCAGTCCTCAGGGTCCACGGGCCGCGGCGCACCGTAAGCCATGGGAAAGGCCGTCTGCCCGCCTGCCAGGGGCTTCTTTTTAAGGGGTCCATAAGGGGTTCCTTGAAGATCTATATGTCGGGGTTCCTTAAAGGCTTCCTTCTAAGGGATCCCATAGGGGTTACTTGAAGGCTGCCTTTACTTCCTTTAAGGGATCTACAGGGGTTCCTTTAAAGGTTTCCTTTAAGGGATCTATAGGGGTTCCTTTAAAAGGGTTCTTTTTAAGGGATCTATAAGGGTTCCTTAAAGGGTTCCTTTAAGGGATTTACAGGGGGTTCGTTTAAAGGGTTCTTTTCAGGTATCTCTAAGGGGTCCTTTAAGGGTGCAGGGCTCCCCTTAAGGATGCTCCTTTACGGGTGTCGGGTTCTGTCAAAGGTTTAGGGTTTAGGGTTGGCTTGAAGGCTTTAAGGCTTCTTGTAAGGTATTCTGCAGGTTCCTCTGAGGATTCACGGGAGTGCCTTTAAGGGTGTGGGGCTCCCTTGAGGACTTTTCTGGAATGGAGCTATTTTGTAAGTAGGTATAACTGTAGTTACCTGCTTATAACCCTGCCTACCAATGCCACTGATCCTTTGAGTCAGTGGAGAGGTTTGGCTTTGAGAACCTAGAGTTTGGGGTGCGGGGTTCAGGTGGAAGGGTGGGGGGTTTAGGGTTTAGGGTTTGGGACCCAGCACAACATGCATTTGCTGGAGATCACTACAAACCAACCATGCAACACAGAACAACAAAAACGTAACCCACTAGCCTAGACCGTTGAGTAACCCTTAGGGATTCGAGTTTGGTTTTGGCATTCTATGGATGGGTTCGTGGGGACCTCCCAAAGCCCTAAAACCAAGAGTCCTCAACCCGGAAACACCAAACCCCTGAATCCAGAAGCCCCGGAATCTTTGAGGCGAATTTAAAGGGGACTTATCATGCAGAATGGGTTTCTCTCATGGTATACTTTGCCCTTTCTGGGTTTAGGGGAACCCAAGGAATAGATAGGTGGCCTTTGAAGCGCCTGCCTTCTGCATGAGTTTAAGTCTTAAGATACCATGATGGGAATCAAAAGTAAATAACGAGGCTTCCTTATTATGATGAGTTAACGAGTATCCATGTCTGCTCGCCTTCTGCACTGCTGGCCAGGTAGAACAGCATGGTCAACAGCCTTACTTGGCGACTTTTCTCGATGGCAGTTGTTCACAATACCTGCCCCAAGCACAGGGCAGCTTCTCATCTGTGTTACGATCTCCGTATCATAAGATGATAAACAGCCATCCAGTGCATCTCAGATGCCGATTTCGACGATGAGTGAGGCGTCCAAGGACCTGTGCTATCGGACTAAGTTCAAGGTGAAAGGTCCAAAATAGTGGACTGAAAAATCAGAGGTAAGGCTAGGGGATATACTCTATTGAGAGTTGACCAAGTTGTATTAAGGTATCCTTAGGAATCGTACTGGCGTGACCTTAAGCCTCTGTACTTCAGAACCCCGCTTAAACCCCAAAACCTAAAACCGCAGGTGGGCCAAAAGTCCGGTTTGTGCGGTTTTCTGGGGCTGGGTGGAAGTTTATGGACTATGAAGACATGAAGGCCTTCAGATTGCAGCAAGGAAACAACAGGAATGCGGAGTCTATGACTTCCTCCATGCCCGTAAGAATCACCTCGCAGTACACATTGTTGAGGAGTCCGACTGTGATTTGGGGAGTATGGCCAAAAAATACAACGACAGCAATAACAATAAGAGTAAAAGTAGTCCTGAGAATCATACCAGTAACAATCGTTGTCGTAGCAACAACCATATTCATAATCGTAGAAATACGAACCAGTATCACTACGAATACTTCTGGTTATAGTAACTTATAAACCCTCTGCTCTTGAGGTAATAGTAAACCCTAAACCATTCAGCAATCGCTGAGCCCTTATGAATCTTATGATAATAAAACCTTAAGCCCCTGTAGTAATAATGAACCTGCTCCTTGTACTAACCCCAGGGTATAAGGAGGAACCCTTGATAAGGACCCCTTGGTATATACCCTTAATATAGCTATTATATACCCATTATATAGCTATGATATAGCCCATTAGAAAGCCCATTATAGGGACCCAGGGGTCCCCATTTAGGGGTCCCTCCTTCTCCCCTTTTAACTAATGAACCCGAAGCGCTGCAAACCTGAGCTCAATCTGGAGGTCCCGGAGCTTCTTCGATAATTTCTTTTTTGCAGTCGGGGCCCTCGCATTCGGAGCTTAGGGCTTTAGGGGTTCAGGTATGAGGGGTTTAGGTGAGGGTTCAGGTTTAGGGCTTGAGGGTTCAGGAATGAAGGCCTTAGTTGGGGGTTTAGGATTTCGAGACCCAGATTTCGTTCAAAGCACTGAATTGCTAGCTGCGAAACCTTTTCAGACCTTTCGTATAACCCCTTATGCAATGCCTCGGTTCTCCGCAATGCCTCGGGCTGCTTCTTGAAGTACTCGGGGTCGAAGAAGTCCCAGTGAGCTTGGTACTGCTGGCCAGGGCGGTACCTGGACGTCGGCACGATCCGGCCTTTATGGGGAGACAAGTGACAAGTATTTCCGGATCTGAACACAACACCCTGTCAACACCCTAGTCTCTGTTGTTGTCTTGTGGTGGTGATCGTTTTTAGAGGACGCTTATCCCAAATCCCTAACAGCTGAATCGCCGAACAAAACTTCGGGTGAACCAGTACATTTAAAGCAAAACACAAAAACTCCACAACCCCCTGTTTCGGGAGCGAACGTGTGGTGCAAAAGGGACACAACCACGTTAGCTCCCGGGAGGCTCGAGTCTAAGAAACAACCGAACCTGAAGATTCTTACCTTTGGCTAGTAGGGAATGGAGGAAAGGGGTATCATTATAACTACTATTACTACCATTCCTCCATTCCCTACTAACCACAGGTAAATATTCTGGTTTCAGGTTGAGGTTCTTAGTTGCTGAGTTCATAAGCCCCCCAAGAGTGTACACTTTGGGTTCTATAGTGGGTAGCATTATCCCAGAAAGTGTAAAGTGTATCCACTCAGCTACTCAGGGTTTCAGCTTATAAGCCCCTCTCATTTTGGGGGATGATGAGCGCAATCCTGATTAAGATCATGGCTTGTGCGGCAAAGGGGTTGCCATAGAATACAATCAGAGCTCTACGTTAACACTGAAGGGCGTCTTAGCTTGAAACAGCCGTCCGCACTTGACATCTTCATCAGCTATGCTTGAGCTCCCAGCGCAGGCCAAAAGCACCCCGGATGTACGCAAACATATCAAGCTCCCTGCCACGTTTCTTAGCCACCCTGGAGCCCGATGCCCCAAAGACTAACTCTGTGAACGCCCTAAACCCTAACACCCCGACACCAAAACCCCCACCCCTTCTCTTTGTCTCCGTCTCCGGATCCCAGAGCTGCGCCTCATCACTTGTAAGTTCTCGACCCGCCCGGCGACCTAGGCAGCAGAAGCAAGCAAAGTCAAACTAGACACGGGCCAGGAGACCCGGGCAGTGGGGTTTAGGGCCTGAATATAGGCGCCTTAATACTCGGGGTAGGCTTCCCGTTAAGGGTCTTTTAAACGGGCTTCAATATGTTCAAGGGCGTTAAGATGGTGTTAAGCAGGCTTGAAAAGGGCAACGGATATCACACACAGACAGTGGCCTAGGCTTCAGGGTCCCCGGTGCTCAAGTCTTTTTCTAGGATGCCCTGTAACCTAGGACAAAAGGGCTTCCCTTTTTCGTATTGGGTACCTTTATAATCCCAGTTTCAGTGCACGACGATGGGCTTGGCTCGGATGTCTTAGACCCCAAGCCCGAAACCCCGACGAGAGCCTTCGTCAGCAGTTGGCTTCGGTTCATGATCAAGCTCACCAGCGGGTCCTGATGAGGGCTTATGGTTTAAGGTTTAGGGTGTCAGAAAGAAGGGCGTGCAGCAAAGTGCAGAAAAACCTCAGAGGACTATTAAATGACGTTTTCATGTGAATGGTTCCCCCCCAAAAAATGAGCGGGATTTGCAGTCGCGGAACCGACGAAACCGAACAGCCGACAACAACCCTGACTCATTGACACTCGATCCCTGCGTTCGAATACCTACATCCCCAGTCCATAAGATCCAGGGCTTGAAGTAGACCTCTAGTATAGAGGCCTGAACAATTCGAATAGGGTTTTGGGGCCCATAGCCAGAGACTCCAATACCCCTTAATGAAGGAATATACCTTAAATTATAGTAGGATCCCGAAGATGATTTAAGGAAGATTCCTTAATTAAGGAGTATTGGAGTCTCTGGGTAGTACATAACCCCCTGAATCCCTTGGACCACAGAGCCAGATCTTTGCACCCAGAAATCAGGTCCCGCCCTGGTGAAGCCCAGAAACTCCAAACACAAAGACTGGCTAAACCACTGAAATACTAGCACTACTGGAAATTATCCATTTACACATACATGTAGATATGCAAAGACCCATACATACCCATCATGCACCTATACCTTCACCTACCCTTTGAGGTAGCATATAGTAACACTATGTGGGAGCTATCAGGAGATACGACCATCGCTGCAGCCTCAGACCCCTTGGAGCCCCTGGACCTGAGGCAACGATACTATGCGCGTGCAGTCCGGCTACAGTTACGTCTACAACTAGGGGTTTCCGACAATTAGGGGTACCTCATTCTGGAGTCCTTATAATAAGGATCCTACTATTTAAGGTACTATATTAGGGTCCCTCATTTTCGGAAACTCCCGAGTATTTGTCGCTGAGGTTGCCTTTCGTTCCAGGCTTTTGGCACTGACGCTACTTTCGCCTTATCGCACTCAATAAGGAATATTCCTGAAATGAGAGTTGGATCCCTATGTAATATAATTTGAGGTATATTCCTTACTTAAGGGATATTATAGCAGGATCCCTAAGATGATTCGAGGTACATTCCTTACTTAAGGGATATTGTCGTCTCTGAATCCAACCTCCCTCGAGCTGCAATCCTCGTCTCCCATGGGTAGGAAGAGCACAAAGCCTAACCCGAAGGCTCCACCGTTCATCGAAGCTTCATACGCTGTCAGAGGCTGCTAGTAGGAAGCCTGCAGTAGGAGGGATCGGTCATTATCGTCAAGGACCCTGACTTCGACAACCCTAAACCCTAAACTAGCCTAAACCCCTAAACCCTAAAAGAAACCTTCCCTGCCCAGCTCTCCTCAGCCGGCAGGAAAGCAGACCATGAAGAGCGAAAGCTCTGATCGCCATCTGCTGGGTGGTTGTCAAACTGCCGTACCTCACCTGAGTCTGAGTGGGTGAGTGGGTAGCAACGAACCTTCAGCACAGTAAGTTTCCTAGGAGGTAGCAGGAACGTCTTCGTAGCAATCTTCATGATCGTAACCTGACTGGCACTTTTGGTAGCAAGCAAGGGGGTGCTGCCTTCTGCGAATGGTCGACGGCTCAATGCAACGCAGTCCCACAGTTCGAAATCAAAACCAAGCCCAAGACCTAAACCGCAGTTCCCATCGTCACCAGATTTGCTCTAGGACTTGGAGCTGTTCCCTGTAGTACCATCAGAACCAGATTTCCAATTCATAGCTATCCAGTCACCTAAAACCCCAAAGCACGAAGACATAAATCCTACAAGCCGTGGGCCCTCGACATATGAACCCTTAATCATATAAGTACACCCTGCAACAGTATAAGCCCTATAAACCTTGGAAGCCCCAAATCCTACAGGCTCTCAACCTCATAACCCCTGGGCCCCTGAGCTTTAATCCTCGGAATCCCGAGTCGCTCTTCTTCAACAAAGGCTTCGCCAGCTTCTTCAAAGCTCGCCTCTCTGATCCGTCTGCAAAGCCCTCCACAGAAAAGACCACCTCGGGGGTCTCCTAAATAATATACTAACATACTAGCGAATATACTAATATGCTAAGATACTAGTATACGTATATGCGACTATACTAATATACTAATATAACGTAGTAATGTGGGGACCGAGAAAATGCCTTTTCATAGGAGCTCGTTGTTCCCTAAGCGCTCTGTAAGGCTTCAACAAGACATGGGCCGGAACACTCAGACGGAATACATTAACCCGAAACAACCTACCTTTTCAGGGTTCCTGATTAAATATGATTTCGTGATATAAGCCCCATAAAGGTAGGTTTTGTAGCGTCAAGGCATTTGCAAGGTTTGATCGACATTTAAATGGGGCTCTGTTTGGGTTCATGTACCCGGTGCATAGCAGGTAGGGTGGTATAAATTTTCTAAACCTGATAAAGAGCCCTAAGGACAGTGCTTCTTGTTAGCCAGGCCCTTACAGTGGCTATGCTCATCAATGGAGTTCCGTTAACATCCCCGTTAAACCCAAAGCGACATGGCTGCTTAGTAAGGACTTCCAAGTGACTAAAACCAAGATCGGTTGCACATGTAATAGAAGGGCCTGAATAATTACCAGCACTGCTGTTTTTTTTTTTCTCTTTCCTTTTTTTGCGGAGGGGGAGGGGCGGGCGTGGGTCCTTATTACAACTACAGCATAATGGGCCCCCAAACCCCATCCTAATTATTAAGGCCCCTGTATTGCAGCAAGGTGTTTGTTACCGGCATCCCTAGAAACAAGCTCCAAATACAGTTGATGGACAAGATCCTGCATTACCCATTGAAAGGAATATACCATAGTTCCCATAGCTTAGGGTCCTTAGGGTCATGCCGGATTTTGTCCATTAGCAGTATGAAGTCACCACTATTCCCAGAGGAGCCTTGGTTAAAGGATTTCAGAATGCTCAGCCAGGATATATCATAGTACCATCATTAAAACGGAATCCTACTGAAAGCTACTGAAAAGCACATAATACTATTCTAATCTAAAGGGTTGCATCTTATGATGCCTTATGGCAAGGAACCCCCGAGCTAGTATTGGTTACTACTCAGGCCCCTATGCTACATCGTTATAATAGCCCGTACAGGTAGCCCTTATAGACGCGTAGTTAATTATTTCGGCTCCGAAACTAAAGTAACTAAGCCCTTATAGTACCCCTTTAGGATCCCTTAAAGGAGCCCTTTAAATTCTGCACCAGGCTACTGGTCTCAGTGAGAGGGTGCGGAGCTCCGGCGCCGGCAGCCCTGCACCCAAGGCGACGCGGCGCCGGAAGCCCAGGTGCACGGCAGGATACTGAAACTCCTTGGGACACCAGGGCTTACGGTTTAGGGCTACAGGGCTTGCTTGGGGTCCAGGGTTATATGAGAGACGATCCTGAAACTCCTTGGGATATCTAGGGCTTGCGGTTTAGAGTTTCGATGGCTTACGGAGTAGGGCTCCGATCTTAGCTCTAGCGTTCAGGGTTACGGCTTAGGGCTTAGCGTTATATGTGAGGCGATCCGGAGAGAGGCTATATAACTACTTCGTAAGCTCTGATGCACTTGAAGCTCGAAACAGCACTGTTGAAGGTATGGTTGCACATGATATCCGGGCCTGAGGAACTAGAAAAGTCTTGAGTGTTTTTGAACAGCCACCATATCTTGACCCTTCATGAACAAAACTTTTCACTAGTAACCCGGCTCCTACATTCTTGGAAAAAGTAAGAACCCTAAGGAATCGTATTTCCAATTGTTTGGGGGACAATATTATGGCTATCACGTCGGCCTTAGTAACTAGAATGAATAGGGTGTTGGGGTATATGTTGGTACAAGGATCAAACAGGTAGACATAAAGGAACCGGGCGCTACTCTTTTCGCATTTTCTATCCCAACCCAGATGGTCAAAGTATGCAAATAGTAATGGTTCAAGGTCCAAAAGCCATTCAGAGTATGGATTTTGGGACCTAACGCCTTACAGGGAACTCCAGAAAGTTGGAATATGGTTTCATGGTAGGATACCCTATAATTTACCATAGAAGGGTTAGGATAATCATATTCCAACTTTTTGGCTTTTACCTTACTATCTGGGTACTCGGACCCTTGGCCCCTTAAAGTGTCAGACATCTTCCAGGTCGGACAGGCACACTAAGACCAACAGCGAGGCTGTGAATACTGCTCCGGACACATTCAACGTCCTCCTGGCGCAATCTCCTGCGATGAGCTGTAAGCTAGCGGTTGGATCAAAAAAGTTTGTCAGTGGCTTCTTCAACTGCCAAGATGGAGGTCGTCGAAAGCTTCTTGCGCAAGGCACGGTCCGCAGCTTTAGGCGCACTTCCACACTGCACCGCTTCTCCGTTTATCTTCTTACTTGTAAGAACTCAGTAGCAGAAATAGCGATCTTCGGAAAACTAGTGGCGGTAGCTACACGATCAAGAAGAGGACCTCGAAGTGCTGACTGAATTGAACAATGCTCCGTGGTAATGCAGGGGCCTTAATCATTAGAATAGGGCTGGGGGGGGTATATTATACCATATTCATACTTACTAAGGAACCCCCGAATCTTATTCTGATTATTAAAGCCCCTACATTACTCATGATGATGGTAGCGCCCGCAGAAGAAAGCATGTGGACGCCTCAAGGTCTGAACTTTACACCCAAACAGTGGCCCTAGAACCCGAACCCCAGAGACTCAGATCCTAAAGCGCTGGTTTCTAAACCTAGTTGCTGAGTTCATAAGCCCCAAAACGTGTACACTTTTAGTTTCATATTGGGTAATATTATCCCCAAAGAGTGTAAAATCTATCCAAGCCATACACCGGAACCCTCGCAGCAGTAGTCCAAGCATCACCTCCCTCGAACAGGAGCAGCAGTGAAGATCGGCTGGCTGCCTCTGCAGTTTGCACCTGTCGGGGCTTCTATAAAAGGTTTAGGGTTGGGGGTTTCCGAAAATGAGCGGCCCTTCTGGAAAAACTTGGACTAAGCCACTTCGCGAGATTTTTGGCAGGTTTACAGGCGCAGCCGACGAGACTTCCTCACAGGAAACGCAGGTGACACCTCCTCTTCCTCCTCCTGTGCCTCCTCCTCCTCCCCCTCCTGGTCCTCTTCCCCCTCGTCCTGCCAATCTTCATCATCATCCAGCAGCTCTTCCTCCGGAGATTCTTCCAACATAATGTCCTCCTCCTCCCCCTCCTCCTCGCCTAGATCCTCGATCTCATTCTCAGAACCCCAAGTGACCACAGTCTCATCGTCCAGTATGGCCGCAAAAGCCGTGTCCGAGGCTTGGATGTGCTTCACATGCCTCAAGCGTTCCTGAACTCCTGAGCTGTCCCCACCATAGTCCCTGTGGCCCCAGGTCACTACTGCTCCATCCTCTCGGAGCGCAGCGAAAGCACACAGGGTGGCCTGGATACGCTCTACATGGACGAGTTGCTCCTGGACTTTGTTGCTGTTTCCACCACAGACAGCGTCGCCCCAAGTCACAACGCTACCGTCCTTTAAGAGGGCAGCAAAGGCTCCGGCACCCTCCCCGCCCTCAAAGGACTCGCCTACAGCCGCCTGGATACACTGCACATTTTTCAAACGTGCCTGCACATGGCTGCTGTCGCCACCAAAGTCCTCGTCGCCCCAAGTCACGACAGACCCATCTTCTCTGATCGCGGCAAAGGCATTCGCAGTGGCTTGGATCTGACGCACCTGTGTGAGTTCATCCTGCACCTCGTCCCATGCATCCTCCATACCCTCGCCACCCCATGCGACGACAGTTCCGTCTCCTTTAAGGGCCGCAAAAGCGTCCGAGGAGGCTTGAATCTGGCGCACGTCTGTGAGTTGGTCCTGGACCTCACTGTCATCACATAAATCGCCCCAACACACGACGCGCCCGTCCTCCCTGAGGGCTGCGAATGCATGCAAAGTCGCCTGGATCTGGCGCACCCGAAAGAGCTTCTGCTGGACCATATCGCTATCTCCACCGTTTTCGCCATCGCCCCAAGTCACAACAGATCCATCTTTCTTTATAGCTGCAAAAGCTGTGTGATTAGCTTGGATCTGAGAAACGTCTCTGAGATCATGCTTGAGCTGCGAGCTCGGCTCCCCCCATGTCACCACGCTCCCATCGCTCTTTATGGCGGCAAAGGCACGGCAATTTGCTTGTATCTGAACAACATTTTGAAGCTGCTCTTGAACCTGCTCAAGTTGCCGCTGTGTCTCTCCTCCGTGGACAACCTCTGAGACCCAACCCCAAACCTTGACAGATCCATCGCCCAGAAGTGCCGCGAAAGCGGAATGTGAGGCTTGAACGCATCGTACGTTTGTCAATCCTTCACAGCTGCCCCAAGCATCATCTCCAGCACCTGGACCAGGTTGGGTGTAGGACTCTACCGAACCGTCGCCGCAAATGGCCGTAAACCGTGCAATCATTGCGGCTGCAATGTTCTTCGCCCGTGTGTGCACCGTGACCGACTCTCCGTCTTTTACGGCTTCAGCAACAACTTCCTGGTCCTGAGTTCTTGTTAAGGGATTTGATTTAAGGTACCAGGTACCATAACCAGGATACCGTTTATTTACCATAGATCCCTATTTACTTTAACTCAAATTAAGCCGCTTAACAAGAACCCAGGGTCTTGCAGGATCACTCCCGCGGAAGAGACCACCGAAGTGAGGTTCACGCCCAGTGCTTCCTGCGCTCGGCGACGGAGCTCCGCAACCGAGGCGTCTGGTGGCAGCTCAAGGTCAGCCGTTCTTCCACTCATCAAGCATGCGCTGACATGCAGAGTCATGGCTAATAAAGGAGCCTTAATAATTAGAATAAGGTTTTGGGGCGCAATATATTATAATTATAGTGAGGACCCCCCAAAAAACAAACAAACAAACAACGTAGTATTGGCAATTATTTAGGCTCCTACCGTACGATAATGCTTGTCTTCGACTTGCACATGTTCCGCTGCAAGGGCTTTCTAGGTAATTGCCATGCATGTAGTGTCCCGTGTCGGATAAAGTCGCAGACATGCTCTGAATAACTACCTCCGCATGAGGGCAGCCAACAAAGCAATGAAATGTGGGCTTCTCTCATAGTGCTGCAATGAGATGTCCCTACTCTAAAGCGGCAACAATCGCAACAACAACAAATGTAACTTACGGATTCAAGGCGAAATGAGCAGTCCTTCATGGGGGACCCCTCTTTACCAGTTCCCTCCAGAAGACTGCTCCAAGTACAAGGCACCTGTCTTTTACTATCTCTTGCATGACGTGATACCCTATGTAACGGTTTTGCAGGTGTTGAGTCTGCTCTGTAGGAAAGTTGGGGTGCGAGCCATGCTAACTGCTCCTTCCCCTTTATGTCGGGCTGCACTCCAAAGTAAATTCCACTGCCTCCAGCGCTTATAAGGGAGTTTCCGATAAAAACAGGGGACCCTAATATGGTACCCTAAAATAGTAGGATCCTTACTATGAGGTACCCAAAATAAGGTACCCCTAATTTTCAGAAAGTCCCATAAGCCCCAAGGAGATCCTGTCTTGAAGCTTTGGAACTTTCCGTTTCAGGGTTGTACAGTAGGGTTGGAGTGGGAAGAGCAGGAAGTCCTACTTGCTAGACCCTGGTCCGAGGTAGTGTTTAGAAGCTGCCCCCATTCTGTAATTAGTGGTATAATAGGAATATACTAGGGCCCTAATATGATCCTTATAGCCACTATTACAGGGTGGGGGCAGCTTCTAAGGTATTGTGGAATAACCAAGCAAAGAGGATTGCACCTTTCCCTACTCCGGGGAGCAGAACTTGTCGTGCGGAGCAAACTTCTTCTCATAACATGTCTGTCAATAATGGGCTACGTATTCCCCCTTAGTACCGGGGTCCGACAAATTTCTGAAACCATCCCTCTGTTACTATACACTTCTACTCTGATTCCCTCCTTCATGGGCCAAACGTTAAGCTGAAGCCCTCGAAACTCAAAACCCTAAACCTAAACCTGAAGCCCTCGAAGCTCAAAAGCCCTAAACCCAAACCTGAAGCGCTCGAAACTTAAAGCTAAACCCTATAACCCTAACCCTAACCCTAACCCTATAACCCTAACCCTAACCCTAACCCTATAACCCTAACCCTATAACCCTAAACCCTGAAGCCAAGACGAACTTTGTCGGAGCTGAGGGGCGGGGTGACCGTCCGTGTCGAAGAGCTGCCAGGGATGCAACTCCCACCTCTGCCGGGGCTTAGGGTTCAGGGGTTTAGGAGTTTTGGGGTTTAGGGCTTTAGGGTTTAGGGGCTAGGGGTTTAGGGTTTACGGTTTAGGGTTTAAGAATTTAGGTGCGCTCTGAAGCTGACGGCATGGACCAACGTGGTGAACCCATCTGGTGTCATATCTATATAATATGTATACATCGATGTAGGTATGAATATGTATGTATGCATATGCGGGTATATGTATATTTAAATAGAAAAATGAAGAGATATGTATATGTATATTGATTAGACAACATACAGACGCATATACACATGTTTACGTACAAACTCCTCTCTCCGAGTCTAGGACTGCGAAAACACAGCGACTACGGGTCTGACCCTTTTTCCCCCCTCCCAATCGTCCCCCAAAACCGGGGTTTAGGGTTTAGGGGTTTAGGGTTTTGGGGTTTAGGGTTTAGGGGTTTAGGGTTTAGGGGTTTAGGGTTTAGGAGTTTTGGGGTTTGGTGTTTAGGGGTTTAGGATTTAGGGTAAACCCCCCAAACCTGACCTTCCCCAAAACCTGCTTTTACTCGCTGCCCCGAAGCTCGCAGGGTGTTTGCCCTGAGCCCTACAGCCTCAAGCCTCAAACACCGCCTTTTTCCCTGTAGCTGTTGTTTGTTGCCCTAGTCTTCCCTTGTCCATATTTTGAGATAGTAAATACCAAGTAGGCGTTCACAACTACAGCCCAAAACCTGAACCGTCACTTTCCGCCCTGTCCGCCTGCTGCTGGGCCGAAGCCAGCGCTGGAAGCTGTTTCGGAAGGAAGCCCAGGGCCTCTCGTTGTGGTTACGTCAGAGTTTACTGGGAGGGTCGGGGACTTAACCAGTTACTAACTCCCCGATCCTCTAAGTAGAGTTTAGAACTTAGCTTAACCCCGAAGAAACTACCCTGAATCGGTAGGTTCCTATCGTTGCGGTTACGTTAGAACTTGGAATCTTACCTATAGTCTCAATTGCAGTTCCTTTTTAGGAACCTTCTAGGATCCTAAATAAATAATGTATATATATATATATACATATATATATATATATATATGTATATGTATATGTATATGTATATGTATATGTATATGTATATGTGTATACATATATATATATATATATACATACATATATATATATATATATATATAAATATGCCAATCCGGGGGCTATGGGTAGGCTTCGGGGTTTAGGTTCAGCATCTAGGGTTTATGTAGGGCTTCTAAAGACGGTTGTCATATGGATTATCTGGCACGTCGTAGAGTTGTGGATGATGAGGGTTTGCGAATTTATTATGAGAGTTTTTGCAGGGTTGGATAGATAGATAGATAGATGGCTGCAAAGCAAACAAGACAGAAATTCTAACAACTCCTAAATGCCTAAACATGTATAGAACCTTTGTGCAAGCCTCTGTAAGACTCTCACGAAACCTTGCAATAAGAAACTTGCAAAAACTGCACAACCCCACAGACACCCTGAAGAAGCACCATGAACCACCCTATGAACTCCTGTGAAGCATCTTCAGATCACCAAACTAAACCCTCAAACCCACCCTAAACGCTTTAAAACCTCGAATCTAAGGTTGTATGCAACAAACAAGAACAGGGGATATCGCATGGAAACCCCTTTTATATAGAATGAAGCCCAAGAAGGAAGGACATCCTTGTAAAGTGCTTGTGCTTCTATATATGGGATAGTATAAGAGTACTAGGATGTAGGGCCTTAATGAGTAGTTTAGGGTTTTGGGGTATAATAACTATCATCATCATACGGATCCCCCCCTCAGAATAGTATAGGTATCTATTAAGGCCCTATAATATGGTTATGTCTGTTTTGAGGCATGTGAACCGGGCCTGGGAGCTAGAATCTCTCGTGCGCCCGCGGTCGACGCATTGGCGAAGAGCCAGCCGCTGCGCTTGGCGCCCTGGAACCCAGAGACTCCAATGTCACTTAAGTAAGGAGTATACCTTAACTCATATTAGGGATCCTACTGGATAGTGTAAGGTATATTGCTTAATTAAGGTCCCAGCCCCTCAAAACACCGCCGCTGAACATGATGACCAGGATGCTGACGATGATGATGGTGATGATGATACCGATGGTGATTGCAACGATGGTAACTATGGTGATGACGATGATGACAGCAATGGTGATGGCAGTGATGAAATACTTTTTTCCCGAGACCTTTCCTCGCCCTACAAACCTCAACAAATTTGCCAAAAAACCTTCAAAGTCGTCCCACCGGGGTTCTCGGCTTCTCTCATAACACTGGCTTCGCCGTCCGGCTTCACAGATTAAGTTCAGGGGGTTCTTTTGGGGGGCTGCTGCCTTGATATGTAGGGATATCGGAGTTTTTGGGAAATAAGCCTGTTGTCGGGCCTTTGTAGGGGTTCTACAGGGGCTCTATGAGGGGTTCTAATATCGGAGGGCTTCTTGGGGTTTAGGGCCTAACCGAGGGAATCGGGTTTGGAGATCTACTGTGCTATGCATACCAAAGGACAATAACGGCGCAGCATGGCTTCCTGAAAACCAAGCTTTCGGTCTAGGCCTAGGACGCCATGGTCTTTCAGGACTTCTGCTTTGAGCCTCTTGATCTAAGGCTCTTTGCTCTTGAGTGCATGGTTGAACTTGAGTGAAGTACTCCACGAGTTAAGGGTTCAGGGCATGGGAACCCTGGCCCAAGGCTGGCAGATGCGATTACTGTACACACTACTTGGAGGTTCATGGGTAGTTTTAAGTAGGATTATAAGTAGGGTAGTTTTACTTATAACCCATATTAGGGGACTTATAACCCCACTTAAACCTACCCTAAATCCCTATAGATCCGTTTAAAGGGACCATTAAAGGAACCCCACGTATAACTACCCATGAACCTCCAAGTAGCAAGCCACTCACAAGGCGAGGCTGCTCGGCTGTCTCATCTTCCGATCGAGGATCACTTAGAAGGCCCCCCTTCACCCTGTAATAGTGGTACCATGACACTTTTATAATCCTTGTAATAGTGGAATAATAGGAATATAATAGGACCCTAATACAATCCTTTTAGTCACTATTACAAGGTGGGGGGGGGCCTTCTAAAGGTTCACACACGTTTGCACATGCACGAAATCAATCATGCACCGATGCAGCAACGCCCATGCCAAACACAAACTGCCCACGAATTCTCGGTCGTCTTAGAATAGAGTCAACCTTGTAGCGGACATTGTGCTGAAAGGACTTGATACGAATTGTTTGAGAAGGCTTGCGGAGGTTCATACAAGGCTGAGGAGAGTTGGATCACCAAGCTCTTAACCCAAACTTCACCCCGCCAGCTGCTGATGCTTCTGTCGTCGCGGCCTTCTCAGACGGAGCCAAGCAAATCACGTGGTAGCCCTCCGGACCGTAGTGCTTCCTTGCGATCATCGAGCCCTACGAGAGACTGCACTCATTTTTCCAAGTCTACGTAGGGTCCAAAAGGGGGCGCCAGAAAGACAAGCAACTACCCGAAACTCCAGGCCGAAAAAACCCTGTACTATCACCCCAAACCGAGAAATCCAATAAGCCTAGATGCCCTGTAAGCCATGGAAACCTCTAGACCCTGTGAGCCCTACAAGCTTCAACCTAAAGACAAACCTTTAAGGAGCCCAAACCGGGAACCCAACACCCTCAGACGACACTCCCAATCAGCCCTACAAGCAGCTCAAACAGGTTTCATCTTAAACCCGAAACTGGACCTAAACCTGAACCACTTTTAAAGCTGTAAGGCTCGTGAAAGGAAGCCGAGGCCCTGATCCCAGCCCGACCGCAGATACAGCATTCGCATCAGTAGGGCGCGCCAACAACGGAAGATTGAGCCTTGGGCCATCGCCCAGAGTCCTTTCAAGTCTCCTCGAGAATGATGGTCTTTGCACCATGGTCGCATGCTTTGTGCACCTCGATTCTGTGCCATTCAGCCTCTGTCTGGTCCCATGAGCCGTGCCATCGTAAACACGTACTTGGAGGGTCGGGTGACTTAGTAAGTAGGTAGTAATTAGTAGACTTATAAGTACCCTAAAAGGGACGGGGACGCTACTTGGGGTTATGGTACTTATAAGTCCCTAAAATAACCAGTTGCTAAGTCCCCCGACCCTCCAAGTACTCGTTTCCCCAGAACACTGGGAGGGTCCAGTATAAGGACCCAAAAAGGCACATAAGCATAAGCATTTTAGAGGGATATCCCCACCTTATTGGGCTTCCTTATAAGGGGGTTTATATGGGATATCCCTATCCTAATTTTTGCTTATGTGCTTTTTGGGGCCCTAACAGTATGCACTTAGCACTCGCGATGCGAGCGGCGGACCCTCTCCCATGAGGAGCCGCAGCGGGCCTCCGTTCCGGCAGGTTTCCGGGCGGCGTCGTGCCGCTGCACGGGTTTCGGGGTTTAGGGTTTAGGGTTTGGGTGTTTAGGGTTTAGGGTTTGGGGTTTAGGGTCTAGGGGTTAGGGTTTAGGGGTTTAGGGGTATACAGTAGAAGCCAAAAGGTTGGAAAACCAATAGCCTCAATCCTTAAGAGTAATGTTATAGGGAATCCCAGCACTATTTGGCCTTAACCCGGCTTCCAACTTTATGGGGTTTACTGTAACCCTAAACCCGAAACCCTAATCTCAGGGTAACTATACTTATGACCCATATTAGGGGACTTCTAAGCCCCACTTATAACTATCCTAAAGCCCTAGTCCCTGAACCCTAAATCCCTATAGAGCCCTTTAAACGGACCCTTAAAGGAACCCTTATATCCCCACTTATAACTACCCTTGAACCTCCAAGTAGGCTCTAAACCCTATACCCTTATAGAATCCCTATAGATCCCTCTAAAGGAACCCTTAATGGAGCCCTTATAACTACCCATGAGGGGTTTACTGTAGAGCATTCTGGGAGATGCCCAGCTCACAGGCTGCCAGGAATCACCCGTTGATGAGCTCTGGGTTGAGGGTGTACATGGAGGGTCGGGGGACTTAGTAAGTAGGTAGTAAGTAGACTTATAAGTACCCTAAAAGGGACCGTGATTGGGCTTACCCCTGGATATCCTAGCTGTTCAGGGCTCCTTATTACTATTTCCTTATAGAAGTCCTTAAAAAGGTAGGATATTCAGGGTTCAGGGTTCAGGTATCCAGAGCATAGGTTCTCAGGATTACTAGTCAAACCATAGCACGCTTTACCCCAACACCTTGTTGTATGAGAGCAGTTAGAAGGGTTTGTGTAAGAGCTCGTGCAGGGAGAAGCATTTGAATGATTAAGGTTCAATCCTAGATGCTGCAAAGGCCAAGCGTACGAGCCGGGTTTGGAGGGTTCGGGTTTAGGGTTCCGGGTTCGGATCTCGGGTTCGGGGTTCCAGAGTTTAGGTTGAGCAGCACTCCTTTTGTTCTGTGGTCCCTCTATTTGGGGCTTTAGGGTTTAGGGTTTTAGGGTTTAGGGTTCCCGACAACAAGCCACAATTTGCCGAACTTGAGATCATCGCCACTGCCACGGCCAGGACAGGTACAGTTGCTGTGATGAAGAGGATTTCCTCCCTTTCAGAGCACCATTCCTCATTTCGACCCTAAACCCCTGAGCACTAAGCCCTTCCTAATTTCGAGTGTTCTTGCAAGTATGCTTAGGCCATGCCGCCTGCCGTCTTCCGTATACCGAGGCTTCGCGTGATAAGTCAGAACTTCGGAACCAGATCTATTCGAAATAATAATGAGAAGAGGGCTGTGCGGTATATTGTACGATAGTCATAAGTATAAGGAGCCCCCAAAATATGTGCATGGTATTGGTACTTACTCAGGCTCCAAAATTCGGTCCAGGGCTAGCAATCTATATCAAGACTACGATCATCAAAGCGGGCTCTGCAATGATTTTTGTAAAAACCTTAGTAACCGGAGAAGTATCGTAACGGGCACACTCGACACACGCAGCCTACTGTAGAGGCCTTAACAATCAGAATGGGGTTTGGGGCTCCCCTATACAAGAAATATTCAGGAACCCTAAGGGATTGGTACTGGGGACCCTTCTATATCATGTCATATCCTTTCGACGAAAACTCAAAGCCAGAACGGCAAAATGATGTTGCCGGGGCTGAAGAGAAAGAGCTCTAACCCCCTCAGGCGAACGCTGAGCACCCTCAGAGATACCTAGACCGATCGGCCACAAACAAACCTTTAGCCTTATATAGACAAGCCTCAATCGTAAACCCCAGCTAGCCACATATGAACCGTGTATACAAAAAGGATATATGTATATATATATATATATATATATACATACATACACATACCATATGTTACAAAGTATGAAAATTTGAACCCTGAGCTTTCGGACTTCGAGTGATTCTCCCGACTTCCGTGGCCAAGGGTCTCGCGGTGCAGCCACTGAAGAAGTTCTGGGCACCATTCCAGAGCCTCCTTTTCGGGATTTGTTCGCTTTCGGCTTAGGGTTTTGGGTTTAATTAGTTCTGACAAGGGAGGATGGGAGAGGAGGAGGGAGGTCATTCCAAAGCAATCTGTTGCAAAACAGCACAGATGCATATGAAGTTTAGGAGGCTCGGGCTTAGGGATTTGAGGTTAGGGGCGTCAGTTTTGGATTTAGGGCTACAGAACGCTAGGCGGACACTTCCCACAAAGTCCTTGGGAGGAGCATCGCTCTCATCGTCGGATCCAAAGTCGCAGATGCCTGGCTTCGGAATGCAAAGTGCCAACAGAACAATGCCACGCCAACGAATGGCGGTCATGGTGATGCTCAATGCTCTGGCCGTTTCTAGTCTGCTTATCAGCTTATCATGCTTTGGGTTCCACATGAGCCCTGCCCCCTAGGGTAGAACCAGAAGGCTGGAAGAAGGCAGCTTTCAAGGAACGGCACCTACCACGCCATAGCAAGGAAGCCTAGGCAAAGGGATATTGGAGCGTCTGAGACTGGCAACACGACACCGGAACACTTTTCAATGGCAACGCAAGCAGCCTTTCCTGAGAAGGATAACCCCCCCGGCAGCACTCGAGTGCCTTGAGTGCAGCGCTTTGAGCGGTCGAGGAAGCGCTGCATCTGGGGGTCCTGCGATGGAACCCGGGCTTAAGAGTTTAGGGCTTCCAGGGGTTTAGTGTTCAGCAAATTGGGCTTTTTTAGTGCTTCGCAGTTTTGCGGTTCAGCGCTGTTCGGGGTAAATTAGGGCTTAAGCGCGTTTTTGTAGTATTTAGCTCGCAGACGCAAACTGAGGCCTACACAAACTCTTTCTAGAGCAACTGGGCCCAAACTCACAAAAACCAAAGCCGATTGTCATCTTGGCTACTGTACTGTCCGCATAAAAACCGCCGGCGTTCACTTTGGAAGTGGCCCGAGCCTTGATACCGTACAAAAAGGATACTCCAAGTGGAAAGCAGCGTCGACTCGCTGATTTAGGCGAGAGCCCTATGCCTTGATCCTGAAGGTCTGAACTCTAACAGGGTTTAGGGTTTAGGGTTTAGGGTTTAGGGTTTAGGGTTGAAGGTCTGAACTCTAACAGGGTTTAGGGTTTAGGGTTTAGGGTTTAGGGTTTAGGGTTTAGGGTACCTATCCTCCAGAAGTAGTCAGGCGCTCAACCCTCTAAGAGGAACGTCGCTTCCACGCTGCTGATTTCGTCAAGTCTGCTTTGCTGACCTCAAATGCATCCAAATTTAGAAGAAGCATTTTGCACGTAATAAACCATAAAATCTTCCAGCGTAACACCCTGAACCCTGATGCCCTAAACCCTGCACCCTAATATCCAAAACCCTAGCATCCTAAACCCTGATATCCTGAACTCTAATATCCGAAACTCTCCTATCCCATACCAAAGATACCCTCGAAACACCAAGCAAACAGCAGCTCCCCAGCTCGGATCCTGTGCCTCTTGAAGCTTCTCCACAACCTGCCCATGGGCTTCTTTTTTTTTGCATCTGAGGGGGTTAGGGTCTGGGTTGGGGTTTAGGGTTTGGGTTTAGGGTTTAGGGTTTGGGATTAGGGTTTAGGGTAGACCCTAAACCCATCTAAGTTCTTGAAGATTTCGGGTTTTAGGGCGCGCAAAGGGATGATCCCAATGTGGTCTTCAGAACTGATGCAGAAAGAGCTTGGTGAGGTTCCCTACTTGTCGGGTATCATGGGAAACTAAAGGTTAACCTTTTTGGTTATATAGGGATTACATAAGGGCTTTACTACCCAAGAAAGGCTAAAGGTTACCTACTCTACTACTAGGCTTCTGTGCTCCAGTATTTGGCTTTGGGGCTCAAGCTTTTCCTGACCTTTCCCTCTCCGAAGTCACTTGGCCTTGGCTTGGGAAGTTACTTCACTTCCTGAACTGAAAAAATCCCCAACCTGGACATCCCAAACCCTAAAACCATGTGAATGGTTGTCAAAATAAGGGTCCCTTTTTGGGTCCTTATTACAATACGGCACCGAATATTTAGGGTATCCAAAAAGGGACCTTAGTTTTGACCACCACCCATGTATATAGTAGAAGGGTCTCAATGTTGTCCCCATTGTGTGTTATGCTTCATTTGCCATGATCTCCGGAACCGGTTGGAGGTATCGGGGCTCGGGTGAAGCTAGTTCGAAGCTGCAGGAACTTTAAGGTTTTGGGCTTTTGGGATTGGCGAAGAACGGGACATACATAACTTCATCGGATTGGCATTAGCTTAATGGACTACAGAGTCCATCGTTGAAGGCGTGTTGATCCAACTCTGGGTGGACTTCTCAATGAAGGGGATCCTGAGCTCAGGTAGTCTCTAGGGCGCAAAAAACTCCAGGTGCCACTGCCAGGCTACCCAGAAAATACATCCCTGAGCCGAAATCTCCGAAGCTCCAAAGCTCGGCCCTTTACGGGTCCTCCGTTTGAGAAGTTCCTCTCACTACCCTCGGACGCCTCGGGAGGTAAGGTGCTGGCAGTGGAGATGATGGTGGTGAACGCCGCCAGGACGTCGCCTCCCGAGCAATAATCATGACCGAAGCATCGGCAACAACTCCTCCTATAATCCTACGACCTAAACCTTAGATCCTAACGCTTCTCGCGACCAATCACCATCTTCATGCTGATGGTCACCATCTTCATGCTGATGGCATCATCAGTCTCACCGCTTTTGTCGTCACTACTGTGATCTTCGTCATCATCGTCGCTTTGGAACGGGCTACGATCCCAAAAAGCCGAGGCGCTGCACAGCTGCTCGTCGGCAGCGACTGGAGCAGACATGCGTGTGCCGAAGCGGGCGAAGACCTTCGAGCGGAATGTAACTTCTGTCTGTCTGTCTCTCTCTTTCTGTATAGATATATAAATACATATACATATACAGTATACTTGCATATAGATACAGATGCATGTACATATATATGTGTATAGATACATATGCGCATGTATGCATAGATCGAAATGTATAGACATATACACATACACATGTTTATATTTACATGCATACACGCATATGTACGTGTATATATATATATATATAGAATATTTATGTATACAGATAGTGTCTTTGACATTGGTGTTTAATCAGTGCGACTGGGGTGTCAGGAGAGCCCTCCCTTTAGCACGTGCCAAGCTCCTTCAACCGGAGCAGACAGAACCCCTCAGTCCCAAATCCGATACGCAGCCCGCGACCAACTGGATTCTTCAAGTTAGTTTAAGTTACCATAATAGCGATCTACAGATCTATTTACAAGCGACCAAGTGGGTTCTTGTTGAGGGATGAAATTTAAGTTACCACAATCGGGATCTGTAGTAAAGAAGATGGTTTCCTCAATATGGCAACTTAGATTAAATCCTTTAACAAGAACTTAGCCATGGGGCTGCGCGGGCAGTGTCGCCACAGGTCTCGCTGTCATGTCCCAAACTGCGGCCTTGGCAGGAGCCCTCGAAAAGGAACGCAGTGGTGGGTTCGGGTTTAGGGTTGCGGGTTTAGAGATTACGGGGTTCGGGTTTTCGCGACTGAGAAAGAGCCGCCGAACAAGTGGCAGTTGTGTCGTCGAAAGCTTAACAACAGGAACGTGTACACAGTATAAATAATAGCAACAATATCGTAGTTGCAGCAATAGGTAAGACACCCACGACAAACACAATAATTTGCATTCATTCTTTGATCAGTCTGCAACGAGACCACATCCCATGGGACGCAGTCTGCGAACAGTTTTCCAGTGGCATCAACGGCAAGATGATCACCACGGCAATCATGATCATGATGAACGGCGACGTAAGCATTTCACCAGCACCTTCAACACAGCAATGGAAATCACCACCACTACCACCACCAGCAGGAGCAGCATCATCATCATCGACACCGCAGCAACTGCAGCCGGGACTGTATGTTGTAGAACCAGGGCCAAGCGATTTCCAACGACTGGCCAAGTGTCAAGATTTCTCGAGCAGTGCCGCCGCGTCTGCATACGAACGCAGCTGAGGCCATGCCTGTCTCAATGCATCGTATGTAAATCGAAACCCAAGCAGATCTGCGGCAAACGGAGAGGCAGCACTTGTGCGAGGTGGCTTCGGGTGCTCTGACATGTCTTGTGCTCATTCACTTTCTTGGCAACGCAAGACGGAAGAAAAGACGGTACAAGCTTCTAGCACTCTACAGCTCCAACCTGAATGGCCTAAACCCCAAAGTTCTTAACCGTCATGCCCATACGAAACCATCATACCCATATATATATATATATATATATGTATATATATATATACACACATGATTATATTTATATATATATATATCTGTATGTAGAGTATATACATCTACACGTAGAACGCAATGAGCATAACGCAAAACTCCTTCCACACCGACACCGAGAGGCTTCTTTGGGATAGATCCCAGCGAGGCATCCCAGGGCCGCTTCTCCGCCTGATGCTGCGCCGTAACCAACAGTGAGGTAATAGTCAGAAAGGTAATCGTAATAATAATAATCATACCACGACAAATACTAATAATAATGCAAATAATCGCCAATAGTAAGGATAAGAACAAGGGGCACCAAGACCGTTGATAGCATCAGCAACATTGGTTTTAGTAAGGAAGAGTGGCAATAAGGATATGGTCGGAATCAGAAGGGCAGTCATGAAGAGATGGGTACGTACGCTCTTGCCACCCCAACAAGCAACAGAAATAACAGGTTAAACTTTCCGATCCCTACCAAACTATAAGAACCCAACAAAGTTGAAAGGCTAGGTATTGAGGCTCTAAGCTCTTGATATTTGGAACATCGAAAGCCCATGAGTTCAAGCTTGGCACTTCCCCAAAGGTAAGGGGAGTTTAGGCGTGGCGAAGCTTTAATCAGAGCTTCTGAGCCCGGTGAAAATACACTGCTGGCTCTAAACGGAACCGGAAGGTTTGTATTTTGCGGCCTTTGGTGTCTGCTTGGAGGTTCATGGGTAGTTGTAAGTCGGGGTTATAAGTCCCCTAGTAATTATGGGCTATAAGTATAATTACCCTACTTATCATCCTACTTATAACTACCCACGAACCTCCAAGTGTACGATCTCTCGAACCGGAAGGTTGAGGGTTTGGGTTTTGGGGATGAGAACCTGTGCACTGAGCCCGGAAGGAGTGCCAAGGACTGTTTGACCTCCCACATCAACTCTCGCCCTCATCTGGAAATCTCAATACAATGTGTTCTTCAATAAAATAGAATGGGGTTTCGGGGTACATGATGAATTATGGTACAAAAATGATAAGGAACCCAACAAAATTGTTGCGGCCCCTGTAGTATGTTCCCTCATGCAGAGATGTGGGACTTCCAGAGAGCAAGGGGTCCTTTAGACTCGACCCCGATTGTCTCCGCATCGTAGCCCTCACCCTGGGAATCGACATAGCCCAAACGCCTTATATAGTATCGTCTTTGGGCCCAAATAGCCTTAATATATGAGTCCTTAGATGCCTAGGGTCATAGTAAGCCTCGCAGTAATTAATCCTTATGGCCCGAGATTCTAGGAGACAAGAATGTCTGTGCTAACATTGAATATAGACTCTTGGGACTCTTGGGGTGCACTATGGCAGCATTCTGTAGGGACGATGATTTAGCCTACGGGCAGATTCGTACCAATTAGACCCCTTGGGAGGTTTGCCGACCAAGATGGTGGCAGTTTCTTCAACTCCAGCCTTCCGGTGCACGCCGCGCCTCCACAAGCCCTAGCAGGCTGATCCTAGGCGTAGTGCTGGGCGTTGAGGACGGAGACGGCAAAGAGGGTTTAGGGTGTAGCGCTGAAGGTTCAAAGAGGGCTTCCGCAAAATGTCTTTAAGAGGCTTCTTGAAAGCTATTATTTGCATCGCGGTGCTTTTGTTTTTGGAGGTGCTTCTCTACAACTGCTGCGGGTCTCCCTTATGCATAAGAATCCGTGGTGCGGAAGGAGGGTTCAAAGCGTCACGGTTTTTGTGTCTCACAGGCTTCGTGGTGTCGCGCTTTGGGCTTCTTGGCAGAGCTGAAACAAGTGGGCAGTTCTGCAAATCAGGCCCCTTTTTGGGTGCCCAAACATGTACTGCACCCTTTTTAAAGGGACTAGTAGTCCCTCATTGCCCCCCCCTCTACGAACCAGAAAGTCTCTTCCATGTCCAAAGGGGTGCGCAAAACCCTGCGCTGGACTATGAAAGCGGTTCTGGCAACACTTCGAAGATTGCTGGCGAGACGGTGGAATGAACTCTCAGGCGGACTCATAGAACCACAGCCCTACTTGCAAGAAGCGACGGAGTTTTTCGCAGCAGTCCCAATGCCTTAACATATCAGACTTCGACACTCAGACCTGAACCTTGCAGAAGTCGTACACCTAAGCTCCACGCACCTAAGCCTTAGCCCGAAACCATGCAGCCCCAAACTTAAAGATTGAAGCCGGGGCGAGAAGCCCATAAAATGTTGGCTGTCGGGCTTTGTAGGCGTTCATTAGGGCTGAGGACTTGGGGTGCAGCGTTTAGGGTGGAGGAATTTGGTTTTGGGGGTACTGTATGCCTTAGAAGGGGCCCCCACCCTGTAATAGTGATCATAAGGATTATATAGGATTACATTAGGGCCCTATTATATTCCTATTATACCCACTATTTTAGGGTGGGGGCAGCTTCTAATGTATGCCATCATGGAGGCAGGCGGCAACAGAAAGATGCGCAACTTGGCCATCGCACGTGAGCCAAGTGTGTGACTTTCAATTTCCGGCTTGAGAGGTGCAGACCGCGGGCGCCAATGACTTCAAGTACTCCTCAAGAAAACCCTTAGATCAAAACAACCCCTAAAGAAAACTTAAAAGACACCTGATAGAGACCCTCTCAGAAATCCTTAAAGGAACCCTCATACAACAACTAGGGATTCCTAACGGAAGGGGCTCCACGGTCTATAGAACCCCTGCCTCAAACTTGGGAGCTCCTTTCGGCGCCCTTGAGGGCGCAGTTTCGGGCTCTGCTTCCCGAGGAGGTGAATCTGAGTCGACATCACCCAGGAAGAGTGCTACCCTAAGGGTCCATTATACCCATATAGAGATACATGAGCCCCTAAGTACCTAAACTACGGCCAATGTTTATACTATATGAGTACATCGGCCCTTAGGGCTACATTGCCGTTGTTCTGACGTAGCGTCGGCTCCTGGTTGGCCAAGGCTTTATTGCAGCTCAAGATCCTGAACCCCGAACCCCCTTATCCGACTCCCAAACTCCAGACCCAATAAAGGGGCCGAAATAATTAGAGTGGGGTTTTGGGGCTCACTATACTATAACCATGATAAGGTGCCCACCAATAGAGTATAGGTAATCGTTTAGTTTAGGCCCCTGCAGCAACCGTTAAACGTCACTTCCTAAGTCCTAACCCGTAAAGCATAAACGGTGCCACACTCGATGCCGAAAACATAGGATTCACCGCAACGTGCCAAGCCCTTCAAAGGGACGCTATGCGGCATTTATGAAAGGCTTCACGAGGTTACATCCTCAAAGCTTTGACACCTTCGACCCTTGGAAACCCTTGAGATTGCGGCACAGATTGCAAGGCCCCCGCGCCCTCCGCGAGCGAAACCAATGTTCAACAACTCAAGAAGCCGAAAGACTTCATTATCCACCAGTCAAGAAATAATCTTCGATCTCATGGTCTGGTACTCCGAGTTTTGAGCTTCATAGGTTTTGGATATTGTATCCGGCTCGAATGCTTGTTGAAGCATGAGAACTCTGAGACCTGGTAGATCCTTGGCGTGCCTTCGCCAAGGCAGCTTACCACGGAGCCGACCTCCCCGCA